ACATAAACAAATTATTTTAATTTTTGCCATTATTTATTTTTTTATAAATTATTTAAAGACGTGTAATTTGTCCATTAACGACATATTAGCGGTAGGTTGACCGTCAAATATCAAAACGAATCCAAATTTATGTTAATCAATTTAGTTAGGTCAAGTTATCACATTTTAGTCTCTTTATAGGATTTATAAGATTTGTGCTGAGTTGTAATTTGATTCTCATAATTCTATTAAGTTTTTTAAAGTGTCTTACCCAATGTTAATAAAAAAATTTTACCAGCTGGTATACTTTCTTTGGATGTTGCAACTCGGCGCCTCTCCCAGTCAAGTCGAACAAAAGAAATGTGGCATTAGTTCAGGTACCAAAATAGAATTTAAAGAATATGTATATAAAAAAAAAATGAAAGTTTGGAAAGAATAAGATTTAAGGGCACATGAACGTAATAAAAGGGAAGAAGAAGAAGGAAGAGGGAAGGAGAAAGGCATTTGCCAATTAGAGAAAGACAGCGGTGCATGGGGATAAGGGTGGTCCCTCAGCACACAGGATAACTACCACTTCGAAGAAGAAGGACACAAAGAAAAAGACCAAAAGGGCATTCCCGTGAACTTGCTTTGGATTTTGCCTGACCCCGTGTCCAACCCCCATGTTCTTTTTCTTCCCCTCTCTCTCCTTTTATTTTTCATTTCTTCTATTCCTTCCCCTCTTTTTTTTTTCTTTTCTATTTCTAATTTATTTTTTTTATAATTCACTCGGTGGTGGGTGTATAGTCGAACTATTCGGAGGGATCTATATGAGGAGACACCTCCATAGAGAGAATAAATATTTTAATATTCAAGTCAGTAATAATCAAACCTAAGTACTTAGAATGAGAAATCATATTGCATACCTACACACAGGAATGATTGACTATTTATACAAGGTTGGTGGTGCGTCTCATGGCTCCGGTCTATATTAGATGACTCCCAGAATTAGTGAGACAGTTACAAAAGGTTGACATGAGATATTTTAGTGCATGCTTTGGGACAAGCCATCAGTGAAGTTTCGAGCTATGTAGATATGCATTAGGGTCGAGCTCAATAGCTTGAAGATGATGGTTTGTTTTTTGAAGTTGGAGGATAGATGAGTGAAATGTTTTATTGATAGCACACTACGTGGTAGGTTGTATTTCACCCTCCAACATTCACATTTCAACAATGATATGATATATGCCATTTTAAGTTAGAGTCCTCCTAACTTTGTTTTTGGTTTCACTTAAAAACATTTTGTACAAATGAATATAATTGTCCACTAGATGTATATTATTACACATACTTTCAACACGATGTCTTTTTGGTTGATTTGAATATTTTAGTATTTAGTTTGAACACTTTTTTTTATCTTCTCGATATTGTGGTTGGGAATGGTATATCGATTATCGAGTATTTTGGTGAATGAATTTGGCTGGATATTAAATATATTGTTAGCTTTTAGGATATTATAATTTAAAAGATAGTGAGTGAAAATTCAAAATTATAATCCATATCAACTATATTTAGATTAACCTAATTTGATTTCAAAGAAAGTATTAATTTAATCACTTACTGAAAATTAAGATTTAATTTGGTTTTGAAAAATTAAATATATGGATACAAACGAAATTCTACATAATTGTTTGACATTAAATAAATTTTATCTTATAATGAAGAAAAACATTCCTCCATATATGCCCTTTCATTGACACGTGTGCTGTTTTTATACAAAAATATGTTGGAAATTTCTGTTACGACTTAAAAATAAATTTTCATTTTATCATATCTGTTTTATTTCTGTTTTTAAAACTTATATTTAAAGTTCCAACCTTCCATTTTGCCATTCAACTTGATGTAAATGTTTGTATTTTTATATTAAAAAAAATTTACATTTAAATCTATAGTTAATATTTAGTGTTCTTTTCACTTAATTTTTATCGTTTTAAATTTTAATTTATTCTTCTATATTTTAATAATTTTTCAACTTTTCTTCTTTCTTCTTTAGTACAAAAAAAACTTACATAACATGATGCTTAGTAAATTAATAAAAATTTAGAGATAGAATTAGACAACCTAAAAGAAAAAAATTTACGAATGAAAAAATGGTATAACTAAAATTTTTAAATAATATAGATGAAGTTGAAGAACAAGCACCAAAAAAATTGTGGACTAGACAACATATTCTTTGCCATTAACATCATTTAAATATTTAGAATAATATTATTGTGATATATATATATATATATATATATATATACACATACATTGTTTGTACCATAATTGTTGAAACTCTATCTTCCCCACTTGGAGCAATGGTATCATAATGAATTTTCCAAAAAATTGTTAAGTTTGATGCAAATATTCCTTTGAGAATATCACATTAACAGCTTAGCTTTCAATCTGTTTTATATTATTTTTTTGAAATTGAATTTCTCAAGACATATCGCTAAAAAAAATCTCAAATTTTGAATTCAAAACAGAAACAGTCGAAACAAAATTTCCAATGGACACCATTTTGCTTGGCCAAAAGGCTGCAATAAGATAAGCTTTCATTGAAATATTGGCTACCTCGTGTCTTCAGTTTCCTTTTAACTAAAATAATTTGTAAAATAAATAAATATTTGGTAAAATTATATTTTCAATCCTTATATTTTAATCTTAATATTTCAATTTAGTCCTTCTATTTTTAAAATTCCGTGGTTGTCCCTATTTTTATTATGATTGCACCAAAAGGATTTGTGGTTTCGCAATACTATCTATAGTATATATATGATGTGTGTTTATTGAATCTTATTCAATAATTATTATAAAAAATATTATAAAGTAAAGTTGAACGATTCTTAAAGACTATGAAGTAATTTTTGCTACTATTATAAATCTTAAATGGGTGTGGTCTATATATAAAACTTTTAGGTACATGATTTAGATTTAAATTATATATATCACATTAATATATTTTTTTAATATAACAACATATGGAGTGGAGTTTGAACACATGAGTTTCTTTTGTTGAGAATACATGTTTTAACCCGTAGAACTAGAGGCTCAGATTAACACTATCATTTTATTTATATATATATATATATAACCATAACAACCAAAACAAAATTTTATATAAAGTTAGGGACAAAAATAAAATACTTTTGAAGGTAAAAGGATCAAAACAAAATAAGGTAATTAACGGCAAATCTAACCTAATTTATATAAGATGATACAAATTTATAAATTAAAAAATAAATGCAAGTATAACAAAAAAAAAACAAAAACAAAATATAATCCGCGATCTATGATTATAGTCAATCATAAAATTATTTCGGTAAGTGATTATAACATAAAATAAAATCTTACCTAATAATATTACTAAAATTAATCATTGAGGGCTTAATATATAACTGCAGCAACTATTTAAAAAGAAAAACTATATTTATTATTGCTTTTATTAAAAATATATACTTTAAAATTTAAATCTAAATTTTTGTCATTTGTGAAATAGGTGGAGTTTTATTAATGGTGTAGACTTGAGAAAGTAAGAAAAACAAATTTTATATATAAAAAAAAAAAAGAATTGTTGGTATGCTAAACTGAGCTATCAAAAATAAAAATAAAAAAATTAATGAAAAGAGAAAAAACAATTAATTAAAATAATTTGTTTCCCTTCACAATCACATAGAGCGCCTAAATAGAGGCCTAGTTTTCACTTTAACTATATTTAATAAATGTAGCTGTCTGTTCAATACTTCAATAGATCAGCACCGTTGGATAATACAAATCATGTGAATAGATAGTTTAAAAGGTTATTCACATAATTTTCTTTTATTTTAAATCATATTTGATCCTTCGATTTTTATTTTAGTTCGTAATTTTTTAAAATATGTTATTTTAGTCTTTATAATTGTAGCAAAAAAAAAACTTGATATAACATTATTTTTTTCATTCAATACTATATTTATTTAAAGAGAGGAGGATACAAATATAATTGAGTGATTCACCGAACACTTGATAAGAATACTATTACTAACGTACTTAGTGAACTAAACGTGAAAGAAATTGTTCAAGAATTTTGGACAAACTTTGATGGACCATACGAGAGGATTTTCAGAAGATTTTTATAAATTTATATGTACCCTGAACAAGTGTGGGATAACGTGTATATTTATTTATGAATTGATGTTGTACCTATGTAAAATCATCTTTGTCATCTGATCGTGATCATTAACACAAGCGTCAATTCTACCATATCTCTATGCTACTAAGTTACTGGACTTCGCAATATAACTACTTACATCTAAATGACTATCGTCCATGGTCTCAATTGGGTCCAATCAATATCAACATTGACCCAGCATGTGATAGTTGACAACCGTCCAAAGATCATTTTGACAATTTGACATGTTTCATGAATTTTTGTAAAAACCATTTAAAAAAAGGCACATAGAAATAATTTTCATCTAAAGTCTTGAGAACTTGAAATTTTAATAACATATTACATAGAGAGCAAAGTGAGAGGGAGGCATGACTTGCCAGAGAACAAGAGGGTTAAAAGTGAGGTACCATAATTTGTCTACTTGTTCCCTGCCTAATACTTCCTTAGAGAGGAAAAGAAAATTATCTTCCCTCCTCATCTATATTTCTCACTCCTGTCTGTCAAAGATTTAGCTGGAGACTACAAAAATCTCTTGTTGCCATGTGATAGGGTACTATTGTCCGTATTTATTAGTAATATATCACACCTTAGTTTTTTTATAGTATAATATGTGGGAATGGAAATTCGAACTCGCGGTTTTTGGTCAGAGATATGTATTCAACCAGTTGAGGTTGGAACCACATCTTTATTTAGTTAACAAACATAGGTCCTTACCTTTACTATTTTCACTCATTATTTTCTATCCTAACATAATTTTAAAATGATGTAGGATTCACAACATAAAATAATAATTTTCTTTTAGTATTGAAGATATCAGACTGAATATCCAACTCTAAACAAGTAAGATGACTCACCTGTTGAACTATACTCGAGTTTAATAACGAGCAAAAGAGTCAGAAATTTTGCCACTAAACATGGAAATAGAAGAAGAGGATTAAAGAAAAAAAGAAGCACAGAAAGCGAAGTAAGAGGAGGCAAAAGAACAGCAGAGAGGGCAAAGCAGGCGACAATAAGCCAAAAATGGCCTTCATATTCTCTCTCTCTTTCCCTTCACAATCACATCCCTGTTTCTGTTTTCCCTCCTCATCCTTCGCTTCCATTTCTCTTCTTTCCCTCTTTTCCAATGCACTTTCTCCTCTTCCCTTTACTCTAACTGTGCTGCGCCAACGGCATTGATTCACAGTTTTTTGTTCCATTGATGGGTTTCCTCAGATTTCTGCTTCTTCCCCTTCTGGGATTCATGGCGCTTCTTCTCCCCTGCTGCTGCATTGCCGGAAATGGCGTTTCCCCCCAACTCAACGACGACATTCTCGGCCTCATAGTCTTCAAATCCGACCTCCACGACCCCTCTTCCTCTCTCGCCTCCTGGAATGAGGATGACGAATCCCCATGTTCCTGGCGCTTCGTTAAATGCAACCCTGTTAGTGGCAGAGTTTCCGAAGTTTCGATCGATGGATTGGGGTTGGCTGGGAGAATCGGGAGAGGGCTGGAGAAATTGCAGCATCTCAAGGTATTGTCACTCTCTAACAATAATTTCACCTCCAATCTCAGCCCTGAGCTTGTTCTTCCCGCGAGTCTTGAGAGAGTTAATTTCAGTCGCAATGGTCTCTCTGGCCGGATACCCAGTTCTGTAATCGCCATGTCCTCCGTTAGATTTCTTGATTTTTCTGATAATCTCTTCTCTGGGCCTCTTTCTGATGAAATGTTTATCAACTGCTCGTCGCTTCATTTTGTCTCGTTTGCATCTAATTTGCTTGAAGGCCCTGTCCCCAAGACGTTACTCACAAGGTGTTTGTATTTAAACACTCTGAATCTCTCCACCAATCGGTTCTCCGGTAGCTTGGATTTTGCTCCGGGGATTTGGTCCTTGACAAGGCTCCGAACTCTGGATCTTTCAAATAATGCCCTCTCTGGATATTTCCCACAAGGAATCTCAGCCATTCATAACTTAAAAGAGCTCAAGCTGCAGAGCAACCAGTTTTCAGGGCCATTGCCTTCAGATTTAGGACTATGCCCCCACTTGGGCTCATTAGACGTCAGCCGAAACCGCCTCGCCGGACCGCTACCGGAGTCGATGAGGCTCCTAACTTCCTTGACCTTCTTGGACATAGGATTCAACACGTTCTCCGGGGAGTTTCCACAGTGGATTGGGAACATGACCAGTTTGGAGTACGTGGATTTCTACAGCAATGGCTTCACTGGGAGCCTCCCTCTGGAAATGGGTGGCCTGAGATCTGTCAAATTCATGAGTTTCTCAAACAACAAGCTATCCGGGAACATCCCAAAGTCATTGATGGACTGTTCAAAGCTTTCTGTGATCAAGCTTGGAGGAAACAGCTTCAATGGCGGGCTGCCTGAGGGGCTGTTTGAACTGGGTTTGGAGGAGATTGATTTTTCTCACAACGAGCTCACTGGATCAATCCCATCAGGATCAAGTAGGCTGTATGAGAGTCTTACAAGGTTGGATTTGTCTAGGAACAATTTGAAAGGGAATTTTCCTGCAGAAATGGGGTTGTATAAGAATTTGAGGTACTTGAATCTGTCATTGAACAATTTGCAGGCAAAGATTCCACCAGAAATGGGGTTTTTTCAGAACTTGAGTGTGTTGGACCTCAGAAGCAGTGCTGTGTATGGTGAAATCCCTGGAGACTTGTGTGATTCTGGGAGTTTGGGGATTCTTCAGCTTGATGGGAACTCGTTGAGTGGCCCAATTCCTGATCAGATTGGGAACTGTCTCTCACTTTACTTGCTGTAAGTATCATACCACTCTGTGGTCCCTCCTTTTTTTTCCCCTTTTTTTCTAGGTAATTTCATCCCATTCAACTTCAAACTTATGTTTCTTTATAAGCAAAATTGTTTTTGATTCTTGTGCTTTTTTTTTCTGGGTGGGATTTTAATTTCATAAAAGAACCCTCAAATTTGGTAAATCTTTTTATGAACCAAGTTTTTTTTTTTTTTCCCTAAAGATTTGTGGTTGAGTGTAATCATTTTGGTAGTTGGGCCAGACTATTTCTCGTTGGGGATTTTTTCTTTCTTTCTTTTGGGTAAGGCTTGGGCAATTTGGTGTTGGATTCGGGCTGTTTTTGGTTGTTTGATTTTGTAATTGGTTTTGTGTATTGCAAAATTTTTAAAATCAAATTTTTATTTTTTTGTTATTCGAGCTGGTTACCAATATACTCCTAGATATTAGGAAGTAACTTATATATTTGATATTAGGTATATTATATACTGATATATTGAATCTAAACCAATCACTTTAACGTGAAGTATATAAGTCACACTAAATATATATGAATAATATATTTACTAATAAATCTTTTCAAGTTAGGATTCTTATTAAGTAACATAGTAGGTTTCTTATTAACATATTAAGTATATCTTTTTTTTTTCTTTTCTTAAAAACAACATATCAAGTATATCGGTTAGAAGAAGAAAAGTTTAAATTTCTACAAACTTCTTAGAAATTTGGATGAGGAATTGGAAACTTTCTTTTCTTAATTAGTCTAATTCCAACTTTAAATTTCTATTGACTCATTAACTATCCTGTCATATAACATTAACATTCAACAACCTATAATTGATAAATGTTAAATAGTAAGAAATTAAATTGAAACTTTTTATACAGCAGGGAGTACGTTGAAAAAACAGAACACATTGGAAAAATAAAAATACTCAACATTTACTTTTTGTTATTAAATTACCAAAACATAGTGTACTAAAAATACAGGACCGAATATTTATATAACAATAATTTGAAATTATGTGCAAATTATATTAAATATGATCATATGATGGTTTAACTTTTGTATGGCAGGAGTTTGTCCCACAACAATCTTAGTGGATCAATTCCAAAGTCAATCTCCAAGCTAAGCAAATTAGAAATTCTAAGACTAGAATCAAATGAACTAAGTGGAGAAATACCCCAAGAACTTGGAGTTCTTCAAAATCTTCTTGCTGTTAACATTTCTTACAATAGGCTCACAGGCAGGCTCCCAGTTGGTGGCATTTTCCCAAGCTTGGACCAAAGTGCTTTGCAAGGTAACTTGGGAATCTGCTCCCCTTTGCTTAAGGGACCTTGTAAAATGAATGTCCCTAAGCCCCTTGTTCTTGACCCCAATGCCTATCCCACACAAATGGGTCCCCAAAGCAGCAGAAACAAGCCCTCTGAATACTCTAAGCCTTCCCACCATGTGTTCTTCAGTGTCTCTGCCGTTGTTGCCATTTCTGCTGCCACTTTGATTGCCATTGGGGTTCTTGTGATCACCTTGCTGAATGTCTCGGCTCGGAGGAGATCGCTTGCGTTTGTCGACAATGCCCTGGAGAGTATGTGCTCTAGCTCTTCGAAATCGGGGACTGTGGCGGCTGGAAAGCTTATCTTGTTTGATTCGAGTTCGAGGGGGTCCCCAAACTGGGTTAGTAACCATGAAGAGTTGCTCAATAAGGCTTCGGAGATTGGTGGGGGAGTTTTCGGAACGGTTTATAAGGTTTCATTGGGGGGAGATGGAGGAGGAGGGAGAGTTGTGGCTATCAAGAAGCTTGTGAAATCAAACATGATCCAGAACCTGGAAGATTTCGACCGGGAAATTCGAATTTTGGGGAAGGTCAAGCACCCGAATCTGATCAGCTTGAAGGGTTACTACTGGACTACTCAAACTCAGCTGTTGGTGATGGAGTATGCTCCCAATGGAAGTCTTCAAACTCAACTCCATGGAAGGCTTCCTTCAACTCCACCACTGTCTTGGGAAAACAGGTTCAAGATTGTGCTTGGGACAGCCAAAGGACTTGCACATCTACACCACTCATTCCGCCCGCCAATCGTTCACTACAATCTCAAGCCAAGCAACATCTTGCTTGACGACAACTTCAACCCGAAGATCTGCGATTACGGGCTGGCAAGGCTGCTAACAAAGCTCGACAAGCACGTCGTGAACAACAGATTCCAGAGTGCATTGGGGTATGTTGCACCAGAGTTGGCATGCCAGAGCATAAGGGTGAACGAGAAATGCGACGTACACGGGTTCGGGGTGATGATTCTGGAGATCGTGACGGGACGGAGGCCGGTGGAGTATGGAGAGGACAATGTGGTGATCTTGACAGACCATGTGAGGTATTTGCTTGAGAGGGGAAATGTGTTGGAGTGTATAGACGCAAGCATGGGTGAATATTTAGAAGATGAAGTTGTGCCAATTCTGAAACTGGCTTTGGTTTGCACTTCTCAAATTCCTTCAAGCAGGCCTTCAATGGCGGAAGTGGTGCAGATTCTACAGGTCATACAGGCTCCAGTTCCACAGAGAATAGAAGCATTTTGAATTTGAAATGTGATGTTTATTTTTCTTGTCTCTTTGAAGTTATAATGGATTGTTGTTTAGTAGTGGACTTTTGTTTTTTTCTTTTTAATTCTTTGTTTTTAGTTGGTGACGTGAATTAACTTAATGATTTTGTAATTTTGCCTTATCCAAGATGAAAAAGCTTGAAGAATAAAATGGCGATTTTAAAATTATGTGAAGTACGATTTGCTAAGGTATATTAGAATAAAAACATTGGTTTTACTTATTCAAATTATTTATATGTTTTCTTAAAAAATATATGTGATAATTGAAAAAAATATTTTTAAAAAATATTATATTCATAAATTAATTTTTTAAACAAAATACATATTTATAAATAATTTTAAAAAATAAAGTTACCGATTGTATAAACTCGACGCATGTCTCATCCCCCAATCAGCAAACTTCCAATATTAAGAGGGACTCATAGGATTAGTTTACTATAAATTCTTGTGGAAAATTACACTAAAATTCCATAGGGATTTTCGCAAAATGTTTATTTTACAAATCTATTAGATTCTGTTAGTCTCTAAACTTAAAATTGAAAAACTATTTCATCTCTAAGCTTTAAAAAAAAAAAAAAAATTAATTCTTGTTATTAGTCTACCTCTTTATATCATCCACTCCAAACTCAATACATGGCCCACCCGCATTAAAACACACATTCAAAGCCACATTATTCAGGGATGTTAGTAAAATTGAATCTCAATATATCTGTAAACCAATTACGTTAAATCTAAAATAATATTAATAGATTTATTGACACACATATATAATAATAATAAATTTATATAATTATTATTTTACAATATTATATAATTTATAATATATTATATTTTACATTTTACATTTTTTTTCTAATAGGAATAAAATGAATTTATAATATTATATAATATATTAATCAAAGTTGTTTTCATTCCTATATTATTCTACATTTTAATCTTATAAATTCAAAATTTTCACTGTTATCACAGAATTCAAAAAACAGTTTTCGAATTAACAGAATCTAAACTTAGATTACATACCACCAAACAAACCCCACGCAACTAGAATGCACATTTTACAAATTCAAGACAGGCATAAAAATGAATCTAAAAATCTAAGTAAAATAAACATTTTGAAATTTCATAAACAAGGAGAGGCGGCAGAGCTAAGCTAAGCGCACGAATTTTGGAACATTTAAAAACAATGATATTGACTAAAATTAAAAATAGATTACAGCAACTCAAATTCGAGTCGTCATATCAAATAAAATCTCTAGTTTTACCCTTCTCAAAATTCAGATTGCTTTAACCATATGCATTACAAAAAGTAGACGCAGCGAAGAGAATAGACCTTCTTAAAGCGTCAAAAATCAATTGTCGTGCAAAGCCTTCATCAAATGGAGTCGGTTGAAACTCTGTCCGGCAACCCTGAAACAAATTTCAATACATCAAATATTATTCGACTTCAAGAGCATTGAGGAACCCTAGAAAATATTTGTTTGCTTCTACCACAGAACATACCCATTAATTTGGTTGCAGTAATTTGCTATTTGATTCGTTATGAGATAGCTATCCAAACGCGATGGCTCGGGGAGTGGTTTAAAGATCGGGTTTGAAGGATCCTCCTCAGGGAGAGGTTCTTCTCCTGCTGCCTTCCTCGTCATGTTCTCGGCCCTACGAAACAAATTCCGCATTATTTTGTATTTGTTGATATGAAAATGTATCTTAAAATTGTTTCGACTGAAAGATTCATGTTAAAACTCCAAACCCAAGAAAGAATTTTGAACCAGGATCAATTATGCAACAGAAATGAACAAAAATGCAGTCTTAAATGTGCTGAGAGAAGATTCACCTTCTCTTCTGAAGCCATGCTTGCTGCTGGGCTTGCTGACGGGTCAGGCTCCGATAATAGAATTGAAACTGGAAAAGATAAAAAGGAACGTTGAATTATGATGTGCCACAAACCAACCATAAAACAACAACTTCAGAAACAGAGGATACGAACCTTCTGCTGCTCCACTGACAAATCATCCATACACTCGATCAGAAATTCCACATTCCTCTCCATAAATGGGTTGGTTGAAAGTTGCAGTCGGTCATAATCACACTGAAAGAGAAATAATCTTATCAAGAAAAGAGAGAGAGAGAGAGAGATGATAATCATAATATTAAGATCATCTACATTAAACAGTACCCTCAAACCATATTACCTGGGTGACTGGAGAGTCGGCTTCAAGCTCCGTCATAAAAGCACTAATCAGAGCTGAATTTGAAACTTTTATCTGAAAGACACCAAGAAATTGGGCAAAGATTATGTTATATTGTCCACTTAAGAAGCCTATCCACCTAAAATGTCTTTCGAATTGTGCATAAACAACCATTTTAGTCCTTACAATTCATTTTTGTAAATTATTTAACAAAAAACAAATTTTAGGAACGTCTTTTGATTATTCACTTTCACCTCATGAAAACGTATGTATATCAGTATATGTCGAACATTTGTCGGCTTTGGATTTCATAATGTATTTCAGTTTTTGCTAATGAATCGATGAAAAATTAGTGGCAACGACTAAAATAGTTTTTGAATATATTTTTTTTATGCGAAGTATGGGAACTAGAATAAAATATTTGAAGGTTGAGAGACTAATACATAGAATATTAAAAAGTTTAAGAACCAAAGCAAAATGTACAGAAGTCCAAAGAACAAAAAAAGATTTAAACCACAGAAAAGGAGGCAATAAGGAACACAAAATAATCATTCGACAGTCTCAATAATAATCTACAATGCCATAAGAGAAACATGACTATAGACAGTTTTTTCGTTATGAAAACGAACAGATGCAGGCCAAAGTGACTTACAGGTATTTCCTCAAAAATTCCCACCCAGGATAGGTTCTTCTCCCTCAACCTATTGCAGCAAGACATTAATAGATTTCCAACAAGCAACTTCGCTAAAAAGAATAAATAACAATAGCAAAGAAATTACGCACTTCTCTCCTGTGAAGTTGTTACTGCGGTAAAGCTCCATAAAAGAATCTGAAAGCTTCAACGCTTTCAGAGCTAAGACGCCTTGATTGGACCTCGATGGGTCATAAATTATGCAGACACATCGTCTAATATTTTCCTGCAAAATTATGTTTTAATAGGATGGCCTACCTACTAAAATGTAAAACCAAGTGAAAATAAGAAAGATTGCAACCCAGCAATAAAAAGGCGGCAGAAATTTTGGTTGGCGACAAAATTCTCCCTCTCAGGATGTAGGATGCAAGATGCTTTCCACCATCCCAATTAGAAATTCTCATTCCATCTCTTATTCTACCCTTATCACTTTCTACACTTCCACTCTACGATCGAAACCTTCATCCTAGAATTCAATTATCCAGGTAAAGATTCCTTTCATACCTTTAAAGTTGAAACGAAGGAATTTCAGTTTTTGCAAGGGCAGAACAGAAGGAAGATCTTCCCTCTCCTTCCTTATTAAAGAAGAAAGCAACTGGAAGAAGTGCTTTCTTCCCCTATGAACCAAGAAGGAAGAACTGGTCTAAATAAAAAACATTGACCATGATCTTGACAAGAACCACACAAGTGGTCACAATAGTTTATAAAAAATACAGATACAGAGAGAAAAGAGATCTCTAATATTCTGATAGTTAATCAGAAAAGCTTCCAATTCTGAAGATACAAACACATGTAACGCCTATAAAAATATTTGAACTTCTAAATTACTGAGTTAAGGAAAAAATATAAATTGGAACTCCCAATATTAGAAAAATCATTACAACAATTTTAAAAATAAATAAGATATAAATAAAGAATGAATAAACTAATACCTGATAGTTCATAAAGGTCTCAATCAGCTCTACTGTCTGATATGAACCTAAAAAGGTTGACTGGTACCTGAATATGATTAAGAAAAATGTAAACTACAAAAAATGAAAAATGGGAAGAAATAGTTTCACTTTCAGTCTAAGTTTATCTTTCAATAATGTCGACCAAGTCAGCCAAAGGGCTCAACTAACATGACAGGGTGAGTTAGTAGTTAACATATATCACCGATCCCAGGTCCCAAGGAACAGAACACTTACTTTGGCATTAATGTAGCCAAAGGAACACCCATATGAAGCATCAACCTTACATTTATATTCCCAAATTCACAAAAATATGTCTGTATCCGACAAAACAACCAAGACATGAGCAAGTTTTCTAATCCTTAATACAATATGATCGAAAATCGGGTTTCAGTCATGGCTTAGATAATCTCTAATAGTTAGGCAGAAGTAAAATATTAACAGTTACATAATAGTTTTTTTTAAAGTACCAAAAAGAACAAAACACCGTCTCACACTATATGAGCAACAAAAACAATTGTAACAATATGGAAAAATAAAACCATTCAGAAAACAAGTGAATGCATGTGAACAGAAAGAAGAAACATACACTCATATACACATTATTTGCCTCGTATTAATGTCAAGTCCTCCACGTACATGCACTATTATAAACCTAAGCTTACCATCCGACAGTATTATTGTCAACATTGACTTCTCTCAGACATCTCATCATTTCAAGCTGGTAATTAGCACCATCAGCTTCAATCTCCTCATCCTCCTCCCGAGTCTAACAAATTCATGTTAACAAGTTAAATGAAGTTTAACGTAGAAAATATTTCCCCAATAACACAACTCAAAAGTATCTGCCTCGCCATACCGGGAAGGGAAAGCAATTAGTAACTTCAAGAGTGCTACCAACATCTAACCCTAGAAGTTGCCCAGTCACAAGAGCTGGAGAAAACTCCTTGCAATGCTTGATTATCTTCAATATAACCTGTAGAAGATGATACAAAGGGTTTTTACCTTAGCATAGGGACAGAAGATCAAGAAGCTAACAAAACTTAATTTTTCCCAGTAAAACAAACCAAATACTCAAAAGTAAAAATTATTTTCCCTTCATTTTATTTCTATCCATGTGTCCAGACCAGTTGCGCGCACCTAGACTAATCACGGCTCAACCATCTCACCCTACTACATTTAGTTGACAAGGTAACCGTCTAGACCCTCTAAGACCAGTTGCGCGCACCTAGACTAATCACGGGTCAACCGTCTCACCTTACTACATTTAGTTGACAAGGTAACCGTCTGACCCTCTAAGCCCTTTGCTATTTAGATTGGCCCTTATTAACCACTATCCCACTATCCCATGATGGTTAAAAATTATTTTTCCTTCATAAAGAATACAATCACGGCAGGTAGCAAAAACGGAAGTACGACAATATTGAATCCGTGGAACATTAGGATAATTAATCAAGCATTCTAAGCTGGAAGGCTCACAAATTGTCATTATTTCAAACGGAAAAATGGGGTTGCATAACGCTAAATACTTCGTCATAACCACTACAAAAAGAAATAACTTGTGAACGAAGAACAACAGGAAATCTCGCGAAGGATTAAATAATAACTTCCAAAATTTTTACATGAAAGACCTAATTAGTTTCAATGCTATTGAATCAAATCAGACGAAAATTAAGAAAGAAAAGTGGAGAAAATTACCAATCCTTCAATCTGAACAAATTTAAGAGGGGAAGCAACCTCCTCTGTAGCAGCTACCTGTAGGAAAGATCTAGCCATCGCTGCAACACCAAATACGCATTCAACAACATTAATAGGCACAAAATCACACTTTTGAATCAAAATTTCAAATGCAATAAACCGTGAGAGAGAGAGAAGATAGGTTGTACGTACTGTTTGCCATGATTAGCGATTCGTAAAGCTCGAGAAGTAAGAAGAAGGAGCTGAAATGAATCGCAGAAGCAGCTACGTCTTTCGGAGGAGCAGAAGGGAGAGTTTTTGTGAATAAACCCTACCAGCGGCGGCACGGTCCGGTGATGGGCAGGAGGAGCAACGACTTCCACAATGGGCCCAATTCAATTTGTAATGGGCCGGATATGTGGTTATTTTCACTATGGGCCCAAGCCCAACCAAAGAAAGACATAAAAAATTCACTTTAGGGCTACGATTATTTTTATATTTTTTCTGATTTAAATAATCACTCGTTTATTAATAATTTTCTTTCTATTTCGAGACACTTGCATTGCACATGATTAGAATTATTATTGTATAAATATATCTCGTATTATTTTTATACTTTTAATATTTTACTAAAATAAGGTTTACATCAAGTGACTAATTAAAACATATTATTACTAAAGATAGATAAATAGTTTCAACTTTAAATATTTACCATCATTTATCACATTATTATTAAGAGAGTCCGTCATTCTAAATTTTACTCCATATTTAGTTTTTTTAATTTTTCATTTAATATTAAAATCAAACAGTACTTGACTTTTTTTCAAAAAAAAAAAGAAAGTTTTGATTAAATCGATTAAGTGAAAATGCATCAATAATAATAAACACATGAGAATGACAACACACTATTTTCCTTTCTGTGGGTTTTCTTCCGATTTGAAAGTCAGTATCATCATCAGGTTTAAAGCTCAAAAATTGGCCCACTTGACTAGCTTAGCCCAACCCAACCTATCCATAAAATTAGATTGGATATGGATATTTGTTTTTTAAATCTGTTGGTCTATGAGACGAGTCGTTTGATTGACCTATTTGGATGGACCCAAAACCCTAATCCAATATAGTCCAATATTATATATATATATATATTTTTTGTCAATTAATATTTAGGGTTTTTATTTTTTTTAAATTTGTTAATATTAATATTGTAATACAATTTAATTTTTTAAAAATCAACATAAATTAAATTGTGAAAATATGATATAAAAAAATTTATTGATAATTTTTAAAAAATTAAAAATGAACATCAAATAAAAACACAAATTTTAGAATTAAGAATTTAGTTTGAAAAAAGTATTTAAAAAAACAAAATTTTAATAATTAAAAGTAATTTATTATATAGGTTAATTTAAATTCGATTGGATTCAACTTTAATCTATTAGTTTAGGTTTTAGTGGTTGGAGCTGTCTCGAACCTAGGTCCGTAACACTTTGACTTAGATCAAGTTTGAGGCTATGTTTCTTTGAATCCAGTTGGGGCCGACCGACGCAATATTGAGTGTGAGTCGCAGGTATGAACTTCCATAATCCAAATTTGTTTGTTAAAAATAAATAATAAATAAATAAAACTCTTTTTAAACTTATTTTTCAAATTTAAAAGGGAAAAAACCCTAATTAAATTTACCCTTCATTTTTAAAACATTAAAACAAATGAAAACTCTCCCATGGGCTCGTTGTATAAAAGGAGTTCGTAGAGCGCAGAAACCCTAACAAGGTTCTCTCATGAAAAACGCAGACCGCCGGGAGCTTCGGAGATCGAAATTCGAGCCTCCGATCAACTTCTCCTTGCGGATCGAGAGAATCTGACAACGAAGAAGGCATCTCAGAAAGCCAGTTCCTGCTTTTTCCGATGGGTTCTCGGCTCGCTATGATGCCTACAGTTTCTTTACGTTTCTCCTCTACTTCTCCTCTTTGATTCCGAATCTTCTTTGTTTCCTTGTTGATTTAGGGTTTGCGAAATCGAAGTTTGTTATAGATTGCTTTCGTCGGGGCTCTTTGGATTCTGATTGAGATTTTTCTTCTCGTTGTTTGAATTTGGGATTTTGCGCTGCGATTTTTTTTTCTTAGGAAATGGTTGTGTTTCTGGAGAAGCTTTTTAAAAGAAAATTAATTGGTTTATGAGTAAGTTCTTGACAATCACATGTTAACTACAATGATGTTAATTACTGGATTTGGTTAGCTTGACATGCCAAATCTAGTCTAGTTTTTCTATCAAATGCAAACATATGTTAAAATTTTATTTTGACTATGCATTTTAAAATTAATACCGACTGATGGTATGTGGTTAACTTCTAAAATAATCTTTAAAAAGTTAAAAGAAAATATTCACATTGTACCCTTTCAATAATATTTTTTTTCGTACTCGGAAATTAGTATCAAGCTTTAAAACATATTTTTCTAAATTTCTTAGTCATATACAAGTGGGTGGCAAAAGAAGTGGAATTACAATTAAAAAACACTTGGTCATACGATTCTATTAAAAAATACATTTAATTAGTTTAAACTAATGATTTAGTTTTTTAACTTGGGTTAAGCTACCGTTTTCGTTATGATTTTGTATTAGTTCGTGTCGCTCCAGTCCGAGGATGCCATTGAATTGATCTGATTAGCGTCTTTAATTCCTCGAGCATGTGGTCTGAATCAAATTTGATTTCGGCTTTTGAAAGTTGTAATAAGAAGGGAGGGTGGGGACTACAAATTTCTCGCAGAAATGGACCATGAAGGGATATGAGAAGTCCTCCAGACGGTGGGGGACGTTTTTCTTTGTAATTTCCTTTTTCTTAATTTGTTCAAGTTTCCACGGAACCAATTCTGAACCTATTAGATTCTAACCGAATACTTAGTACATGGACTAAATCATCACTATCCATACGCGGGTCGAGCTCTCCCACTAAGAAAAGAGAGGTGAATTATTGGTAGAAAGCCTAGTATTCAATCCTGAAATCTGAACGATTCGGAGAAGAATCCACAGCACCTAGAACATCGATTCGATCTTACAACTTACATTTGAATGTGAATGCAAGTTACATCAAAAGTAGAAATTTAAGAATATGGAACTCCCAGACCAAGTTCCAAGTTCCATAAGGTACATGATCTTTCTCCGTAAAATCTACAAGTTTTTTACTTTTTTTCATTTATAAAAAGTATTAATTTGTCCTAAGATAAATTGTATTTAAATCAATTTTACAAAATGAATGGTAAATAATTCTCTTTTTTTCAAAATCACTCATTCTTCCCTAGTTTCAAACACACCCATATTTTGTTCTCGAAGAACTCCCTATTTAAAATGTTTGTATTTGGAAGTAACATAAAATGTTTTTGAAAAGTTTAAAAACCTCCGTTTAATTTAGAGAAAACAAATTACTTGACTAATAAACATTTTCAATAATCTAAAATTAAATGCATATTTGATAGCGATTTTCAACAAAAATAAAACCTTTTTTGTATGCATTTTATGATGGATTGCTAATTAACAAAAGCAATTAACTCTACAAATCATGCCATTGGAGTTATTGAATTTGTTGGTTCTTTATTATTCGAGATGGACTTTACTCAACTAAACACACCAAAATTCAAAATTCAAATTCTCTTTGTTACATGAAATATGTTTACTCTTATAACACTTGCATCCTATTTATGAACTCTTTCTTGGACGTGTAGTAAAAATTATTGGATACCTATTACCTACCTAAAAAAAATTTATAGACAATGAAAATTTAGGGATCCATTAAATTATAAATCACTTTAGTCACCCCCATTAAATGGTAAAAAAAGAAAATAATAATTATATTAGTATTTGGTCCATATATTATTGTTAGAATAGGTTTTCAAATATTCTGCAACTTTAAAGGGTTCAATGACAAATTATTTTCATAATTTTGGTTTACCATCCTTTGTCCAAAAACACTATTGATTCATCATTAGTAAGCACTTCTTTTTTCCGGAAGTACTTGCAAGTCACTTTCAAATTTGATGAGTTTGAACGGGAAGTGCTTTTAGTATACACTAATGTTTTGAGTGATGCGAAAAGTACTCACAAAATATAGATGAGTCGAGCCTTGAAGAAGTACATTTTGAAATTAAGCCATATAGAAATACACATCAACGGGTCGATCATTGAAGAACTATACCCTACAAATGAGACCAACCAATGACCAATATTAGCAATCGTTTAGGCTTGTTGGCCGACGAGCTCACAAATCGGTCTAGTCAACCACGGGTCAACCCAACCACAAGACATTAAGCCATGACCCACTATAAGCCAACTAAGCCGAAGGTTCAGATAAAGGCAACATAAAGAGATTCTCTCAACCATCAATGAGCCAAGCTGTTGTCAAATTCAAAATTATGAGATTTAAATAGTTCAAAAAGGAGAAGATATCCAAATCATAACTCTAGGTTTTATACTTTATAAATAAATAGTAAATACTTATAACCAAGTATGCAATAAAACCCTACCTTTTCCTATAATTCACATAAAATCTCGTTTTTTACTTAAGCATTGGAGTATGTAGTGAACATCATACGTGTCATCTATCTATTTTGTAGGCTTCGTTGACATAAAAGTTAATTAATAATAAAGATTATTTTTTTCTAATTATTATATTACAAATAAGAAAATAGTGGTTTGAACTAATAATTTTTAAAGTAGCCAAAGTGAATATAGTTATTAACATGTATCTCCAACCAAAAAGTTGTGGGTTTTTCGATTCTACATCCAAAGTAAGGTACATAACCTCTTGATCAGAGATATATGCTAATTATCAATGAATTATCCTCGCTTTGGCACATAATCAGTCCTATTTCTTTTCAATGGCAATATTTCTTTGATAAAATATTAATTAGTTAGTTGTCGTAAACACTTTCTTTCTCCCCCACCAACTTAGCTAATATCCTCTGTGAATGCGTCTCCAATTGCATAGATACATAATTCAATAAAATCCAAAACCTTTCCCAAAGCGCACCAATTACTTCAGATTCTCCTTCTCATTGCCTTACAACTTACAACCACCGCGGGTTTTCCAATGGCGGTAGCCTCCGCCGCCGCCTCCGCCGCGCCCCTTCTTCACTACCCACTCGCAGCCTCCTCCTCCAACCAACCCCACCGTCGCCATCGCCGCCCGGATGCTATTAGCCTCCGCCACTCTTCAATTTCGATCCCCAATTTCCCTCCGTATCCCCTCAACTGCTCGCCGATTTCCGGACCCCGTCGGCTTGCTACCCGTTTGGGGGATTTTTCTGCCGGCGCTTCCATCGGAGACAGCGATACTGGTGGTTCGACCTCTGTCTCGGACGACGACGGCCTCGTCGGCGAGGACGCTGCGGTTTTTGATCTTTCCAAGCAGAAATTGACGTCGTGGGCTTATTTCACTGTGATTTTGGGGGTTGTTTTGTTCGTGCTCAATGTTGTTTGGATTGATAACTCCGGTGTGGGATTTGGCAAGGCCTTTGTGGACGCTGTTTCTGAACTCTCGGATAGTCATGAGGTTCCCTTCTATTACTTCGATTTCTTTAAATTGTTTCTGGATTGGTATATTTTTTTTTTTACCTGTACAAACAATGCTCATTGTGAATGTGATTCTGTATAACGTTCCCCAAAATGGGAGAGATTATCTTACTCTCAGATAGTTTTTACTGGTTGGTTTTGGTTGAAGCGATTGGATGTCTATAGCTAGTGGTTGGGCTTCCAATTTCATTCCTAATCTGAAGTTTTAGCTTCGTTTCTTTCAAGAAATCCTTCCTGTTAGTGAACTTAAAATCAATGATAGATGTTGAAATTTGAAAATTGTGTTCATTAGTACCATTTTAAATGGGTTTGTTTTCTAATTTTGGGCCATGTGAATTAAATAGATTTGTCAATTTTATGGTAGGCATGTCTAGCTCGGGATAGTTTCTACTGGATTAATGAAAGGAATTTTGAAGTTTAGTGAACTTAATATGTAAAGGGTGGAATTCAAACTTTAAAAGATTATGGACGAAAAATCTTACATGTCTTTGGCTTCTGAATTATGAATGACTGGGAGGATGAACTTAGCATTTGGTTTATATTGTGCATGGCCTTGCTAAATTCCTGAGTCTCACTTGGTTAACATGAATCCAAGTCTTGACTCTTGAAACTTTCTTCTGCAGGTTGTGATGTTGATGCTCATTTCCATTTTTGCCATTGCCCACAGTGGTTTGGCCACTCTTAGAGACCAAGGCGAGAAGCTTGTCGGTGAACGAGCTTTTCGGGTTCTGTTTGCAGGAATTTCTCTACCTTTGGCTGTCAGCACTGTGGTAGGATACCTTCCCTCTTCTTTTCCATTTAACTTGATGATGAAGTTATCTTAATATATATTGTTCCTTAAAAAATTCTGGATGCACACCCATATTGACTTGTTTACGCTAAGGAGTTGAATTCAGGTGTATTTCATTAACCATCGATACGACGGAGTACAATTATGGCAGCTCCAAAGTGTTCCCGGAGTGCATCAGCTCGTGTGGTTCAGTTCATTTATCTCCTTCTTCTTCCTCTATCCTTCAACTTTTAATTTGCTAGAGGTTGCAGCTGTTGATAAACCGAAAATGCACCTTTGGGAAACCGGCATCATTAGAATAACTAGGCATCCACAGGTATGTTTATATTTCCTTAACTTGAACATTCATTACATTTCATTACAATTTCGGGGTTTCATTGCCGTTAATTTGGCTGATAAACAAGGCTTAGGCTCAAATCTCGAACTAGAATTGGTGGCTTCGGCTTGAATCCATTGATAAACTAGAGTTGTCTCATGTTACTTTACTGCATCAAGAATTTTCAATGAACTTTCATACTTTTTATTTTAGTCCCAAAACTTTCAAAAGTTAAAAAGGCTTCTCAGCAAATCTCGGTTTCTCTTCAAAGATGGTTGGGCAGGTGATGTGGTGCTTGGCTCATACCATCTGGATAGGGAACTCTGTTGCAGTGGCAGCTTCCATTGGCTTGATAGGACATCATCTGTTCGGGGTATGGAACGGAGACAGGAGGCTAGCAAAGCGATACGGGGCAGATTTTGAAGCCGTGAAAAGGCGAACGAGCGTCATCCCGTTCGCTGCCATTGTGGACGGGCGTCAAAAGTTGCCCGACGATTATTACAAGGAGTTCATTCGGTTGCCATATTTGTCAATAACTGCACTGACAATGGGTGCGTACCTTGCTCACCCCCTTATGCAAGCTGCAAGTTTCAGGCTTCATTGGTAAGTATATGCAGCTAACTCTTTTGTATCAGATGTATAATTATTGTATAAGCCAAAGCATAGAGTGACACTGGATAGAGAAATTTGAGCTCATGGACTTATTAATTAAATATTTACAAATATAGGAGCTATTTATATATATATATAGCTCAAAGTGGGACTTTTGTAATTTTATATTAATCGAATAAACGAAAATAAATCATTTGTATCAGTTATTTTGCATATCATTAAACAACACTAATTCTCAATTTAGTGTTATTTTTGGTAGTGCTAACTTAAATTTTGACCTTACTTGTTAATTAAGTTTATTTTAAATAAATTAAGAATTCTATTTTCAAGGGCACCTTCCATAATTAATGAAGAGTCGTTTGATAACCATTTTATTTTCCATTTTTTTTTTGCCTAAAAATAAATTTGTTCTCTCAATTTGACTTGGTCTTTTAAGATTCTATTTCTAACCAAACTTTTAGAAGTCAGGAGAGTAAATTTTTAGAAAAAGCTTTTTAAATTAAAAATAATTTATTAATAAATAATAATTGATTTAAAATAAGCAAAGAAATGGTGAGTAATAAAGATTTATTTTTTAAAATAGAAAAGCTAAAAACGAACTCTATCAAACCCAATGTTTGTCTTAGTAAACTCACTTAGAAATTTGTGGAGGAAAAAAATGGACGGTTAAAAAACTTATCTGGTCTCAATACTTTTATTAAATTAATAACTTAATATCTAAAATTTAGTAGATAATTTATTCCTTAAATTTTAATTTTGATAATTTAGTATTTAATAGTCATCAAATTTAAAATTTATAACAATTCATGGCATGAAAAATTTTATTTGTAACCAATTATATTTTGTACTTGTAATTTAAAAATATATTCAGTCCATTCAACCTTGAAACATTAACCTCACCTCAACAAGATTTTCGCAGTAGAATCTAAATCTTTACAAAATTTTAAATAAAATAGTTAGTTCTCAAAATATATTGTTATAAAATTTAAATAACATGACCTAACTACCAAACACCTTCTTTTTACTGAAATGAAATTTACTAAAAAAAAATGAAGGTTAACTCACAAGCACTTTCTAACTTTCAATTTTATCCATAATGAGGTGATGAGCTTTAAAAAATGTCTAATATATTTTGAACTTTGAATTTTGTATCCAATTAATCGATAAACTTCAAAGACAATAGTAATTATGAGTAAATATCCCGTCCTAATTATAGCGTGATCATTGATCCATCATCATTGTTGATTTTTTTTAGGTAAAATACACTTTTTAATTCTTTAGTTTTGAGTTAAGTGTCAATTTGGTCCTAAAATTAATCATTCTAAATGGTCTTTGAATCAATTTTACTGTTAGTTCGACTAATGGAAAAATGATGTGGCATTTGAAGTGTAAATTTTTAGATGGAGTGGTAATTTTTAGTAATTTTATATTAATTTAGATTTAGTTGGTTTCTTTTTAATTATTTTTTATTTTTCCCTCCCCTCCCTCCCCCCACTTCTTCTTCCCTTTTTTCTCCGCCAGATTGGTTGTGTTGCAGGGTTTCCCTAGACCTAGCATCCGCATAAGTCCGCATAAGTCCGTTGGCAGCGACTCCGCCATTGGAATCGTCGTCATCGTCTTCTTCATTTGCTTCCCATTCAACCGATTGCCTTTGCCATTGTTCACGCTTGTTTTTTTGGCGGATGTTAGATTTTTCTGAGAATCTGTACTTGAGGGTTTTGGAAGTGGATGAAATTGATGAACCCAGTTGGGGGAATTAGTGTTTAGAGCAAGGTAGGTCAAAAGAATTGGAAATGGGGCACAGAGAAAGGTGGGATTTGGAATCTGGTACGAAGAAATTCGGTTGGATTTGGATTTGGAATTTCAACGGCTAGATCTGTTCCATACCTAGAGGAGTCGCGGCAACAAGAGAAAAAAGGGGGGGTTGGATGAGGGGAGGGGAAAAATTAATTAAAAAAATAATAATAAAGCTAACTAAACCTAAATCACTATAAAATTAATAAAAATTCCCACCTCATCTAAACGTTTAATCTCAAATGCCACGTCATTTTTTTGGTTAGTCAAACTAATAGTAAAATTGATTGAGGGACTATTCAGAACTATTTCTTAAACTTCGGAAATTGAGATGTTGTTTTTTGAATTTCAGGACCAAATTGAAACTTAACTCAAAATTCAGGAACTACAAGCTTAATAACGGCATCAAAATTTGAGAGATAAATTTTTAACATAATTAAAATGAAAAAAAAAAAGGAAAAATGGCTGTGTTTTTATTAATTCCTCTTAGAATGATTGGAGAATTTTTTTTCCTTTTGACATTAGAAAATGAATGGAAAGTGATTTAGTTTATTTTATTCAAGGAGCAAACTATGAGCCGATATAAAGATATTAAAATACGTGTTAATATTTTCATTTAAATTTTCATATATTTAAGTTTCCAATGTCAAAATAAATTTTCAAAAATAATTTACAACTAACTGTCACATTTATTTGAGGAGAAATCACCTCAGCCTCGAGTACTATCTCGACGTTGAGTGTTTCCTCGACCTCGAGTGTTATCTTGACCTCGAGAATTGTCTTGACCTCGAGAATTACCTCGACTATTACTTCGACTGTTTCTTTAATCAGCTATAACGTTGGGACGTAAGCTGTATTCTCGAAGGTAAAGCTTAGCAATGGTTAGGAATTGATCAGTCTAGCAAAAAACGCTACTTCAGAAGATTATGCTACTCTCCACCTCATGTAAATGATGACGAATTGATCCACCCAACTCGAAAGTGGGTGTCACTTTTGAGGGTGAATTTACCCAGCAAGCACGAGCTCAAGTAAGACCCATTTCGGGCATAGGTTGGAGAAAAATCCAGCTAAAACAAGCCCAATCAAGGTAAAATTTGACAGCTTGTAGGTGCGTAACCACCTTCGTCCCATAATCACACCTTCGCATCATATTTGGGCGGCTTATAGGTGTGTAGACACCGCCACATTGGGTGGTTTTATAGGTGTGTGACTACCTTCACACATTGGGTGGTTTATAGGTGTGTGACTACCTTCGCTTCATATCGGGTGGCTTATAGGTGTGTAGACACCTCCACACCATATTGGATGGTTTATAGGTGTTCGACCACCTTCGCTTCATATTGGCAAAGCTCAAAGGTGTACAACCACCTTTGTTCTATATTAGGTGATTTATAGTCCAAATTTTAAAAAAAAAAAACAGAGTCCAAATTGGAGTAAACCAATTTTTAGTCTTATTCATATATATAATATTTTTCATGATATATGAGATTCCCTTGGATTGGGGATATATATATGAATAGAAATATCTATCTTATTTAGTTATATTTTTAAACTTCAAAACCAAATTTAATAATATTTTCCAAGGACTAGTGCGGAGACGAATTTCACTCACACATCGGCCAGAATCGGAACTCAATCGTTGACAAATTGGCGAGACGTGCAGTGGGAGGAGGATTCTAGCGACTTAGGGGTGCACAACGGCCGGTCGGCTCGATTTTCAAGTCTAAATCGACGCGGACCGATGCATGGTCGATTTGTGGAAATAGAAACCAACCGATCATTTTTGCTGCTTCTCCATCGAGTCGGTCGGTCGATCGGTTTTCGACAAATTAACTATTGGGTTAGAGCTGTTGCGATGGCGAGTGTGACCGGTCAAGACGAGTGACAGTGTGTCGTTGTTGTTGTTGAGAGGTGAGAAAAACTTCGAAAAATTCCATCAATGAGAATAAAGAAGCATTGGAGATTGATGATGAGACAAAAGGAAAGAAGGCAAGGTAAAGAAAAAACGATGTGAAATGGTAATGGAAGTTTAAAAGGAAGAAAGGAAGAAGATGTAAGGGAGAAGAAACATGATATCTGAGGAGTGAGAAGATGAGAGACAGCAAAGTAAGATAGAGTGTATCAATTTTATCTTTAAATACGCGGGTCCCACATAAAGATTAAAAATATTTTTATTTAGATAATGATAGAACTTCTTTACACATGGAACAATTTAAGTCGGAGTAGTATGGAAGTTCTCCCTACCACGGGAGGACTAGAAATTTTCCCATAAATGAGAAAACAAATAAGGAGTGATTTGGGGAACATAGAGGACAGAGGAAAGAGAAGTAATTAAAATGAGATAAAAAAGTTGGTGGTTTCCAGAAACCATGAGCACCCATGGTTTTTCTCAAACCCACGAAATATGCACAATTTCTCAATCTAATGAAAAAGTCGGTCGGTCCGACCGAGTTTCCTTATTTGGAACCACCGATAGATTGGTCTGTAAAACCGATACTGACCGAACTCTTGCTGAACCGACCGAATTGACTTGGTTCGATCGGTTTTGGTCGATCGGGGCGGTTTTTCGAGTATGTTGTGCACCCGTACCTCGCGTAGTGTTGGTCACTTGTGGAAAATTTACCCTTTTGTGGCTCCTGTGTGATTCGATAAGAAATTACCTAATAACAGCATTTATATGTGAGAACCTACGCCAAAACGAACATAGTCTAATGTTAGTTGACATATAATTCAAATTAAGAGGTTATAAATTTGGATTTTTTTGGAAGTCAAGGTTTCACCCGAGGCATTTTGATCTTTACATGGAAACAAAAGAGAGAGAAATTTCAGGATTTTGGGAGCAAAATTTTGGAGAGCACGTGAGAAACGGATGGCAAGAGAAAGAAAGAAGGAAGAAAAGATTAGAGAAAGGGGAATTTTGTGTTTGTGATGCTGAGTTCGTAAAGAGAAGGAAATGGGCAGCGAATTGAGAGAAGGAGATTTAAGATTTCTAAACTTTGTTGACATCACTCAGATAGCAAAAGACCATTATTATACATCTCCTAATTTTTTAGATTTTCTTCATTTTTTTAAAACAATTCATTTTCTCTTTCTTACCATTTGAAAAGTTTATTCCTCTCTCTTTCCAACATAACTCCCAAAAAAATCTATCTCTCTTCTTTTTCTACCAATTTTTCCTTTTCTTCTCTCTCATTCACTCCCCCATTTTTGTTTGATGTTGTTCATGAAAACGTTCAAATCTTGACAAAAAATAGTTTTTAAGTTTTCTTCCAACTTCTGCAGAACTGTGGGTACTACCGAGTCTTCCATTTTGAGCGAAAGAAATTAAACGAAAACTAAAATGATCCAAGATAGCGAGCGAGAGTGAGATATGAGCAAGAACGAGAAGGATAACAAAACGTGAGAGATTTGAGTGAGAGTGGGAGTGATATAACAAGTCATTATATCACTTTGTTTGATCACAAACCTAATTGTCACGCGAAGCTTGAACGAAAGAGGCTGATCTACGCACAAAACTTTCACAAACAGAAAAATAGGCTCCAGCGCTCAAGTAAGTCTAAGAGTTTGATTTATCACTTAGAGTAAGTGGAACATATTAATTAGCGTACCATATAATATATTCGTCGGCTCGGGCAAGGAAGATGGGTCAAGCTACTTCATCGTCTTCCCGAACTTATTTAACGTGGCACTTTCTAACGGCGTGTAGTTCATTGGCATGTTGCAAACGCTAAATCGCCTCCAACACCTTTCATAAAATTTAAAATTATATAATTGGCATGAGAGATGGGCTTCCATGAGAGAGAGTAGCGAGATGGAATCATTTGTTTAGGATAACATGTGGGATCGGAGTTCAAACACACAACCTTTTAATTGTAAATAGGTATCTTAACCAGTTGATCTAGAGTGGGCAAAAACTACCCAAGATAAACTGATAATAAATGAAACTAAAATATGGTTCATCCTATTAAGAGAATTAATTTCTCTTTCATTTTTCTATTTTTTTAATTTAATCATATAATTAATTGCCACACTTTCGTCAGATGTGTCGAGAAAATAATGTTTTGTCGATCGCTATTCATTTTACATGCTACACACCCATAATCTTTTGCTAAAAATTTCATTTTACATGCTCCGTGTGTATATAATCTTTAGCTAAAAATTTAAAGGAGAAACAGAAGAAGCAAAAAAAAAAAAAAACTATAAAATCTGAAGTATTATATATACACTTTAAAATTATGACAAAGTAAGAGATGTTTCTTTGCTCTACCATGCCCTATTAAAAAAAAAACAAATAATGTTCTAAAAATCAAAGTTTAGCTAGATTTAGAAGTCTTTTGTGGATAAGAAAAGTATTATATTGACACCTGGATTAACTTAACTATATTTATTCAAGGAAATTTTGATCCAAGAAGACATCTATTGATAAAAGATGTCTAAAACAATGGAAAACGAAATTATGATTTGATATATATTAATTCTAGCTAAAGAAAATTGACTAATTGAATAAAATAAGAGCAGCGTATATTTCATTCAATTTTAACCTCGAACTTCCTATTTCCTCCCCTTAAACCTTAAAAAAAATCCTGATATCTTCTATTACTTTTCTAAGCTAATCATTAAGATAATTTTCAATGGTTCAAACTTCAACGTAATAATATATGATAATATATCATTGAAACAAAAATTACTTAGAGATTCTAAATTTCAACCAATTAACTAATAAAAGAAAAATATTTAAAAATCGTAAGGAATAATCTTGTCCTGATTGACAACTCACTAATTTTTATAAAAGTCCTCTTAGTGGGTGGTATCACGGTTAAAAGAGTTAAATATTTTTACTAAAAAACATATTTTTTTAAGGAAAATTTTGATAAAATTAAAAAAATGAAATAAATGAAGAGTTTGTTTGCGAGTGTTACGTACTTGTGCTCGTGTACAGTCCAAACTTTCCGGGCAGCTCCACCTCCATTTGGCGGTGCCGATTCTCTCTCCACCGCCGTTGGATTTTCAACAAAAGAGATCATCGGAGCCGGCGCCGGCGCCGCAGAATAAAACTGCGCCTTCTCGTTCTCGCAATGGCCTTCAACAAAAAGATCGTCGGCGTTGAATGACTCGCCCGTCGATTCGATGGAAGCCGGAGCAGATAGATTATTATTATTATTATTACAATGAGCCGTATTTTCAAGATCCAGAAGATCGGAATCGTTGAAGAAGGAATAATCGAGCTCCGGAAACTCAAAAGAATCAAACGGCGGCAAATATTGATGATGAAATTGCGGCATGTCTTTGATCGCCGGACTCGGAGTGAAATAAGGGACGAAGAAGTTGGTCCAGTTTTCCATGGCGGTCACTTTTTGTTACAGAGAGTTTTGGGATTTTTGGTGTTCTTCAAATTTAAACAAGATGAAATTTTTGTTGAAAGTTATAGAGTCACTAAGTCAGAAACCGAAACTAGTTTTAATTTGGAATTCTAGAGGGAGTAGGATTTTGCGTTCAACTCTAATATTGGCGGACCTAAATTCTAGTGAATTCAGAAAAATTAATAATATCATTATTTTTTCTTAATATCATGAAAATAGTGTTTTTAATAGCATCTTTTACTAACTCGGAATCCTAATGGAATAAATAAAATTGATCGGAATCAGAATGTTCATTTGATTTTGTTTATTAAAATTGTCTAAAATCCGAATAATACATAACAATAATAACTAGTATATCACTTTCTCCTTTTTAATTACAATAATAATAAATTTTAATTTAATTTATTACTATATTAATTGTACTAAATATTTTTTATTAAACAATTTATTTAATATTAACAAATAATGAATAATTAAAATAAAATTACATCAAATAAAATATTTTTCATTTGAACAACCATAATTTAATATAATATATTATTAAATTTTATTATTCTAATATTTAAAATAATAATTTCTATTTTAAAAAATCTATTGATATTAATTAATATGAATTTATAATATTATATAGTAAATCACATCAATTAATAAAAATTGAAATATAAATGAAGAAAAAAATTATAAAAGTATAAAAACACTTAATTAAAAATCATACGGGTATAGTTAAGAAATGATAAAAATTGTAAATTAATTATAATATATAGGTGGACCCACGGAATAAAAAATGAAAATGTAATTATGAATTGTACGAGTAGTGTAATGAAATTACAAAGTTTGAGGTGGTTCCACCATTGCTTGCTTCGTCACGGAAACCCAAAATTCTAATAGTGTGCCATAAATTTTTCCTCCCAAACCACTCTATTCTCTAAAGTCGGGTTTGAGATTAAAATAAGAGCATTACTCCCATTTGACACATGAATGTTCAATATTTATTTAAAAAATCTATGACATAAAATTTTAATAAAAATGCTAAAAATATTAACATAAATTATGTGTCAAATAGTCATTGAGCTACACGCAGTAGCAAATCTAGGATTTGATGTCGGGGCACAAATGTATATAACATAATGGAGAAATATTAATTTTAAACCTACACGTAGCAATGGTATATCAATTTATACCTTACGGTTAGATAAATATTGTAATTTTCACGTGTATTGGTTTTTTAAAAATATATTTGAAAAACTAAAATAAAGATTATAATAATAATATATTAAAAACGACTCGCTGCAAGAGTTTGAAAAAATAGCTTTATAAAATAAAATTCGGCCGAATATGAGATTTGATCGTAGGGGTATGGACATAAAACTTGTTGGACAGTATACAACGTTGAAAAGGCAGAGAGATGAGAATTGAACCGACCAAGGTGTTGGTCTCGATCTCGCTTGGTGGTGCCCCTCTCGATGATTGTTGACTCAACATTGATTTCCTGCTTGAGTTGGGGGCCCTCTCTCCAGGAGAGTACGTTCACAAAAATGAAACTCAAAGGAATTAACGAGGCCCGCACAAGCGGTGGAGTATGGGCACGGCCAAACATCATCTCAGAAGCCGATCAGCTTACCATTGCCCAACCAAAGTCTAACCCAAGTTCAGCTGGAAAGTCTCTCTGTACCAAATAATACCTCGAATCTTATTTCCTCTTCTTCTTTCGGTGGAGCTTCCTCTCGTTGTTCTTCTTGCAACCTTATCCCTTTCATTCTTCTCTTCCCTTAGGATCGCCTTTGGAAGTCGGACGATTCACATGGCATCATCAAATGATACAAGTCTTGGATAAGAATCTACAACGCACTAGAACACCCTTGTTGACGATATTTTACTCCGACATCATCTAGGGTCCGGGATAAAGGTCTACTTCTTCACATTCACCGTGCAATGCATGTCGTTGTTGATAGACAGAAGAATCATGGTATGCACTTCCATGTACTAGCTAAAGCGTTACGTCTGTTTGGGGGTGGGGGCACGTTTATTGAAAACAATTGTAGATTAAGATTGAACCTTCGGAAGTCGGACAATAGACAACGTTGAAAAGGTATAGAGATAAAAGACATGGCGATATAGAAGGCACGGTAGGTGAAGGAGAAGGCGGTAGATCAAATGGTAGGAACTACCAAGGAGAAGACAATCGAAGCAGTGGAGAAAGCATAAGAAGAAGCATACTAGAAGAGGGAAAAGGAAAAAAAGGTTAAAAGTACTATGACATTAATAAATATTACACTCACCACTGTCACATGGACATTCCGTTATTAACATAGACGAAAGTTTAGCTAGATTTTTTAGAACTATTCCAAATCTCTTGATCAATGATATATGTTAATTAATATTAGATCATGGAGCTATGTTAATTAATATTAGATCATGTAGCTAGCGATTTAAGGAACTTAATTATGGTATATAATATGAGTCTGTTTTCCAAAAAGAAATAAAAAAGCAGTGTCAGTTTTGTAATTTTCCCTAAAGTTTTCAGTTTTAAGGATAAAAACCCTTGTGCCCTCGCAATTATCCTTCTTTGTTTGAGGGGCTAGGGTTTTTCCCTCATCCTTTCGACCGTCTCTCTCACTTGGTTCTCGGCTTGGCAGGTTCGTATACACTGTTTTGTAACTTGCTTCTGCTTTAGGATTTTTACATCTGCTTTTTTATTTCCTTTCTTTTCTCCTTCTGAATCTCATAGACAGAGGGCTCCATGATTTTGGGTTTTTTATTTTGATTGAAACGATCTGAGTTTTACCCACCAAGGGACTTGTCAAGTAATTGAAATCTGTACCATCATGGAGAGTTGCTTTCTAATTTCCAGGATCTGATCCTTTATAGTGCAATGGGGGCCTCTGCAATTAGAGCGTCTCTTATCTTATATGATTTAGATTAGAGAAATTTGTGCTACTGGGAGAGGAAGAAGAGTAAAAAACGCATATGCTATATCAGGCAGTAACGGGAATCTTCCTATTTTGATGATACTTGTGTAGTTTGCCGAAATGTGGCTTGTGGAAAGTGAAAGTCGAGTAATTTCGAGAAGTGTATTTCCCTAGTAAAAGCTAAACGAAGACTACTTATGCTATAGAACTGAAAGTAAATGGGATCTGGAAAATGCTAGGCCCAAGCAGACAGATTCTAGAAGAAGATAGTAGTTGGGAAATCTGCTTTAGTATTCAAACTTGGTCTCCCCATCTTAAATAGATTTTCCTACTTCTTTTGTACTTACACGTTTGCTTTCGGCGGTTAATGTTTCAAGGTTTAAATCGCCATTTGCTGTTTCTCTCCTTTTTTAAAACAGGAACCCCAGAAATTCTCTGCGCACCTAGAGCTCTCGTCTTGCCAAGATGGGTATGTCAGATACGAATTCTCACATGTTCTGAATATCTTCATTTGTAATGTTGGTTTTCCTCTTGTTAATCTGGGAGGATTTTGTGAATAGGTATCTCTCGTGATTCTATGCACAAGAGGCGTGCCACTGGAGGCAAGAAGAAGGCTTGGAGGAAGAAGAGAAAGTAACTATCTCTACTCATATTTAGATGAGTGTAATTTGATTCCTCTGTTTTGCTCCCATTGCCCCAAATTAGTTGCCAATATATCCACGAAAATTTTAATGTTCTTTTCTTTGCTTGGCTTTTATTGCACGGTCTTTTTGTAGTTTTTGCTAAAATATAATTCTTTTTGTGGATAAATGGTGGTCTTATTGGCATGGATATGTCATTCATTTTCTTTTCCGACAAAAAAATCAATATGCTTAATTAATTTTCTCGAGTTATCTCATCTCCTTGGGTAGATTGAATGTTGATTTTTGTTTCAACTATCATCACAATCACCTTTTTCTTAATTCAAGTTGCAACTTTCATTTTGTGGTTTTGTTAAGTCTTCCTGATATAGTATCTTCCCTTCCTTTGTTTATAAAGGTATGAGCTCGGAAGGCAACCAGCCAATACTAAGTTATCCAGCGACAAGTCAATCAGGAGGATCAGAGTTCGTGGGGGTAATGTGAAGTGGCGTGCTTTTAGGCTTGATACTGGAAACTACTCTTGGGGTAGTGAGGCTGTGACGAGAAAGACCCGTATTCTTGATGTGGTGTACAATGCATCTAACAATGAGCTTGTTCGTACTCAAACTTTGGTGAAGAGTGCCATTGTTCAGGTTGATGCAGCTCCATTCAAACAGTGGTATCTTCAGCATTATGGAGTGGATATTGGACGGAAGAAGAAGACCTCAGCATCTGCTAAGAAGGAAGAGGTAGAGCAAGTTTTGTAGTCTTGAGTCCTTTATTGTGTTAATTCAAATTTCAAGGACAAGTTTTTAATGTGTTAAAAAGAAGTGTGATAGATAATGTTAAATGGCATTTGTAATAGGTACAAACAATTTAATATGATAGGATGCATGATCCATAACACGACATGATTTTTATGGTTGATAGGAAGGTGATGCTCCCTCTGAGGAGGCAAAGAAGAGCAACCATGTCCAGCGCAAGCTGGAGAAACGTCAGCAGGAACGTAAACTTGATGCACATATTGAAGAACAATTCAGCAGTGGTCGTTTGATGGCTTGCATCTCATCAAGACCTGGTCAATGTGGCAGAGCAGATGGGTAAGCAATGAGAACCCTTTATGATTCTGCTTATTTTTCTTGTGTTCTTACAACTTGTATGAGCACAATCATTGAAGGATTTTTGGATAGTTTTTCTGAGGTTGAGTGAATGTGTGGCAGATATATCTTGGAGGGCAAAGAGCTTGAATTCTATATGAAGAAACTCCAAAGGAAGAAGGGAAAGGGAGCTGGTGCTGCATAAACTTTGTCGTTAAGATGTTTTCTGCCCGTGTTTCTAGTTCCATCTGCCTTTTCTTCTTATGAAGACGATAAGCTATTGCAACTAAGATGAAAAAGTTATTTAGGAACTTCAATTTTGCTGGTATTAGTTGTTGAATTACAATACTGTAGTCTTTTTCAACATTACCATGAATTTCTGAACTTGCCAGTTATTTAGCAATTACTTGATTCATAATACGATCCACTCCAGGGTAAATTCTCCACCACCCTCCCCAACTTTTGTTATGCATGGATCATGTTGCTTAACTTTCGCAGCCCTCCAAAACTAGTAACCGACTTTTCATTTCACACTAAGCACTGAAAAACTATTATTTCCTGCGACATTTTGCTGTTTCAGGTTTTATTTCACTAAGTCAGATTCAATCTCAAGCTTCTCTTATTTCTGTAAGTTTTGTTTTGAAGCTTTCTGAATGCTTTGAAACTTATGTACTTCTTTTTGGCATGCTGGTTACTAACTTTTTTATTTTGTGTGATTAGTTCTTGTTTTCTGTTTCCTCTGGTCTAGAGGGAGCTGAGGGTAAAATAAAACACAGAGTGGGCCACTTAATTTGTTTGTGGATCATTGAAACATTTTTTTTACTCTGTGCAACCATTGACCTTAGAGAAGGTAATTGGTAATTGGTGATTTATCCATTTATCTGCCTGGATTAGCGGATGTGGTTTTTGTTTTAGTTTAGTAACATGTGGGGTCGAGGATTTGAACTTTCAATCTTTGGTCGAGAATATGCACCAATATAGTAGTAGCTAGTAGTTTATTGTTTTGTTTGAGACGTTTTGGATTAATTTTTTGAAACATCCAGGATGTTAATATTTTGAATGACTTTGTGGTGGTAATCTTTGCATTGAAATATTTAGAAAATACAGTTTAATTTTCAAAAATAAAAAGTAAAAAATGAATACTTACCGAATGGTGTTTTTAGTTTATTCTTTAAGCAGAAAAACAAATTTTAATTTTAATATATTTATTTGTTCATTTAGTGACACTATAAACATAAGTATTAAAAAAAAAAAATGTTTCCCCAACTTCAATCATAATTATTGTACTAAGAAGGAAAACACTTCGAATAATTATTCAAATTACTTGGTGATCTAATTACATGGAAGAAAATATAGTAACACAAAAAAAACAAAATTACATATTGTTTTTAATGATCTAAGTTTTGGTTTACTATCATCTCCAAATTTTATTTTGAAGCTGCTTGGCAGTAGCTTATTAATCTATATTTCTTACGCTGTTTAGGTGACAAAAATATTTGATTAAAATCACATTTAATTTTGATATCAAATAGAACCGTTGTACATAAAAATCTTATAATTTACTACAAATTTAAATATTAATTAAAATCTTCTTATATTTAAGAAAAGAACGAGTTCAGTAACATGTGGACTGAAGTTAGCAGATGTACATGCCACGAATAAAATAATATATTCCTAAAAAATGAAGGGGTATTTTTGTAATTTTCTTGGAAGTCGGGATTTTTAGGGAGAATGTGCCATATGCCTCTCCCCCTCTTTCACGATTCTCTTTGTTCAAGGGGCTAGGGTTTTTCCCTCTTCCTCTCTCCCTCATTTCGACCGTCTATTTCGCTCGATTCTTGGCTTGGCAGGTTCCTGATCATTTCGGTATGTAGCTTGCTTGTGATTTAGGATGTTTTCCACCTGCTTTGCTGGTCTTTTTTCTCTTCTCCTTCTCAATCTCATAGTATATGATGACTGCGTTCTTTTTGTGTTGATTGAAACGATCTGAGTTCTACCCAGCAAGGGGTTTCCAAGTGATTCCAATATTTTTAGACATGGAGGTTAGAAGGATGTTTTCTGATTACCATGATCCGATCATTTTTTAGCAGCATGGTCCTCTGCAATTTGAGCAAATTATAGGAATTTATGCTTTGGGGATAAGGAAAGGAAAAAACGCCTATGATTATTTATAGTACGAAGTAAGAGGCAAAATACCGTACTTTTGTTTCTAAGGTATGAAATCTAGATGCAAGTTAATCATGGACATGGGAGATGATGGCCAAGTTTGAAAACCTAAATTGAAGTGCAAATTGAGACATGGCTCTTTGCAGTCAATGTTAGACAACTTATTTGCTCTATCAGTTGCTTTATAAGATAGAACAAATCCTTGTATCAAGATTATGTTAGCTATAATTGTATATTTTACATAATAAATCATGATGATCACGGATATATGACGTTTACATGTGTTGTGTGGAGTATAATGACAGCCACAGACTCTGGTCTGTGCCTCTTAGCAGTAGTAGGTAGGCTAAGGGAAATGATATTGTCTGAATTGTAGGTCTGATCATTTCTTTTGGTCTACTGTTAGGCTGTCAATTTGATCAGCATTATGAAGGAAAATCTCATCAAAGTAACTAATTAATTTTTTCTTCTTCTAATTGCTGAAGTAATGAATATGAAATATCTATACTAGTAATGGGCTAGTATTTGTGGGATTAGTCATTCAATTATAGCAACATCACACAACACTGGGAAAAAAAGGAGACGAATAGAGATTCCTTGCAAGTTCTCTCAAGGTGTAGAAAACAAAAGGAGACAGAACAGAGAGGAACGTATCAAGAAACAAGGAAAGATAGAGATACTTCGGTTTGCTTTTTGTATTTGATGAAAGGATTAAAGTTGCTAGATTATAAAGAAATGGGGGAGAGAGGTGAATTGTTCAAGAATAGCTTTGTTGAAATTCTAATCAATGCTCTTGGACTGACTCTACCTTCTCAGTATACAACCGAAGAAAGGCAATTTAGGGTTTGAAATCTTGGATTTTTGTGTTGATTATTACTGGATTCTGGTTCATTCACTTTTTCAAAGGTGGGGAAATCCTGTTTCTGAAGCCCTTGTTTATTCATTTATAGTAAGGTTAATATCAGGTTACTGTAGAGTAGATCTAATTTGTTGCGATTTTCTGAGCTGTGTCATGTGGGATTTTTTTTTTTTTTTATGGTCTACTTTCTTCCTCATATATCCGGAAATATGATGTTTAGTAGATAATTCTGGCGGGGAAAAATATATGATTTATTGATGCATTAGGTGTTCTGTCTATGCGATTGACAAAGTTTAATGTTTTCTACTAGTTGGAGATTGTAGGTTTTAGATTCTAGATTTTCATTTTCTATTATTGATTAATTGAAGATTCTGACTATATTTTTTCTATTTGTTATTATGGGAAGGGTATTGGTTTATAACATGGTTTTTTATGTTAGATTTCCTTGTTTAACCATAGGCCTTTGGGGATACCTCATCTCCCCCTTTTTTGTATGTTCCATCTCCTTTGATATATATCCGTTTCATAAAAAACATGGTTTTTTTGGTTCTTAAATGTTTATTTTTATTTTTCTTCTGTATCTCGTCCTTTGTTTCATTAATGGTGGGCACCTGGAGGTTGACTGCAATTTTATGAGTAATAGAATACCAGAAAAAGGGATCACGACTGACATTTCTAACTGCAAGTGATAAATATTTTCCCTATCTATTCTATAAGCTCCGTTTGGATTGTCATGGAATGAACTGATAGGTCGTAATGCCTCTTTATGTTGGTGCCTTGGTGGTATCACAATTCCTCACATAGCATTTCCATATGTAATAACAGAACAGTAAACATGCCGAAGAACAAGGGAAAGGGAGGAAAGAACAGGAAGAGAGGAAAGAACGAAGCAGACGATGAGAAGCGTGAGCTTGTTTTCAAGGAAGATGGTCAGGAGTATGCACAAGTCCTCAGAATGTTGGGGAATGGTCGGTGTGAGGCGATGTGCATAGATGGGACAAAACGCCTTTGCCATATCAGGGGTAAGATGCACAAAAAGGTTTGGATTGCAGCTGGTGATATTATACTGGTTGGTCTTCGTGACTATCAGGATGACAAAGCTGATGTTATCCTCAAGTATATGCCTGATGAAGCTAGGCTGTTGAAGGCATATGGTGAGCTTCCTGAGAGCACGCGTCTCAATGAGGGTATTGCTGGCGGTATTGATGATGAGGATGATGGTGGTGCTGATGACTACCTAGAGTTTGAGGATGAAGATATCGATAAGATTTAGATTTTGAATAACTTTTCCATTTGGAGTTTCAGTTGTGGGATGATTCGTAATGTGGATTTGCTCCACTGTTGTTGTACCTTATACTGTTCTGTTCTGTTCTGTTGGTGGACTGGTATTTATTCCATAAATTCTGATATTGATGATATATATATAAATGCGACTCAATACTTTTCACAAGCTGCAATGCCCCGGTGGTCTGTTTCTCCCTTCTGGTGCTGCTTGTTCAAAGCTGGTTTCGAATCACAATTACATATTTTTGTGGATTTTGTGAATTGTCCCTTCTCTGCAGGGGATTTGGAAGCATTTCTTATCCATTTTTGGGTGGGCGGTACTTTTATGAACAATACGAGAGATTGGTTAGCTTTAACTTTGCTTCAACAGCCTTTCAAGCACATAAAGGACATCCTTTGGCAACGCTTCAAGAGAGCATATATTTGCTCCATTTGGAGAAAGAAATTCTAGGCTTCCTTTAACAAGAAAAATTTTCCTCAACTTGATTGATTCTATTTCTTTTTTGGCTCTAACTTGGTGTAGAAATGTCTCTGCTTTTGACAGCTATAGTTGGATTCTCTTATATCGAATTGGAGAATATTTTTATAACTTTATTGGGTATAGTTTGATCGTATAATTTCATAATACCAATCAAATTGTTTACTGTAAAAAAAAATTGACTTCCATTTTCGGTAGATTATATCCTATAGTTTCTTTTATATTACTTGGTTCGATTTCGTTGCTTGTTCGTTGAACTTGAATGAGTTTTCTAGCAAAAAAAGATTTCAGACTCTCACGTTCATAAGGTTTACAATGAACCTTGTCTTAGGGGAGTGGTCACCATAATTTGAACTTATTCATTTTAAATCGTTTACTCTTTACATTGGACTTTATTGACATCAACTCAGGATGGTTGTAACATTTTTTGGAAACAGCAAAAACAAGTTTCTTGTTTCTTGTTCCGGTTTTTAATTTATTCCAAAATATAAATAAAAATATTGTTTTATCATTCTTGAATCCATGAGTGTTCAACATGCATTCTATTTTTCTTTTTCTTTTGGTTAAAATATTATTTTGGTGGTGTATTTTCAGCTTTGATTATTTTATTTATTTATTTTTTTTAAAAAAATAGTTTTGATTCATTTTGGTTCATCCATAGTTTCAATTTTGGTTTATTTTAGTTAAAATGATCCATGAAGGGACTAGTGAGATGTGCCCCGAACTAGCATGGTTGCATGTTGTTTTTGTCTAAATCCTATCAGCTTTATACCCGATATAAGTTTTATAATTATTTGACACATATAATAATATTTTTCCAACAATTTTTTTAAATGAGACTCTATAGGAGGGTAAAGCTTGCAATACTTTTTAAGTTTAACGGAAAGATTTCAACCTGCTTATCTAAGTTTAAGATGCAGTTTGATGAAATTATATTTAGGGTACAAATTGATACAAATGGTCAAGTTCTTATTTGATTATTTTTTTTAATATGTATGTGAATTTGTGCCCCTCAACATCAAATTATGAATCCACTGCTGATTTTAGTCCCTGTATGTTCAAAATGTTCGTGTTGGTCCATATACTTTAAAATAAATGATCATTTTGGTCCCTATTTTCAAAATTTCAACATAAATTTTATATATAACGAACCTCCATTAATATAAAGTCATAGTTACATTTCAAAAAATATATCAAGTGTTGTCATGTTTAAATTGTGATAGAAAAATTAGACTAAAAATAAAATTAAAAGACTAAAATAATCATTTTTTTAAAATATAATGATCAAAATAAACATTTTAAAACAACGATACTAAATTGAACTAAAGTCGAAAACAGATTGATAAAAAATGAATATCTTAAAAGACATGAATTAGAATAAACAAAAATGAATAATGCATCGAGTAAAATAATATTTTAATATTTTATATTTATTAAAATTGAAGGGAAAAAAACAAAAAATAAGAATCCTTAACCCTGCGTCCAAAGAAGCCAAGTCGTCGTATAAGCGGGAAGACAGAAAAATTTTCAGAACCGAAGCAGCTTTTAATGGCGGGAAGAGAACGACCCAATAGAGCACAATCGAAACGCTGAAGTGAAGAGACGAAAGAGAGGCTTGGTGGTAGACTGAGGTACAGGAAAGAGACGAGCAATGTCTTCGCAAGAGCCACTCCCCAAATGGGCTTCCAAGCCTTGTGTAATGGGCATCGATGAAGCTGGTCGAGGCCCTGTTTTAGGTTTTCTATTTTTCCTATTCGCTTCATTCCATTTCTGTATCTTTAATTTCGCTTCGATCATCATATTTTGGGATGCGAATTTGAGAACCCCTTGAAATCTTACTGCATTTGATCTCAGGGCCAATGGTGTATGGATGCCTGTACTGCGCTAGTTCCTATTTGGAAGAACTTTCGTCTTTGAGTTTTGCAGGTTTAGCTCGTCACCGAAATTTATTCTCTTATTTCGTTTACTTTTCTTCCAACATTTGAAGCTTTGGGTGCAGACTCAAAAACGCTGAAAGAAGAGAAGAGGGAGGAATTGTTTGAAAATTTGAAGGCTAATGAATCAATTGGATGGGCAGTTGATGTCATAGATCCACGGGAGCTATCATCCAAAATGTTAAATAAGTCAGTAATCGGTTGTTTTTAAATTTTTTTCATTTGCCTACGTACTCTAATTTCCACTTTACATAATGAATTCGATGGTATAGAAAATGGAACTTAGCTGAAATCTCGTCATTCTTGACAAATGGTATTAAATGACCTCTTCTCAAGAGCTTAAGTTGATTTTATGTGAACTTTATGTATATTTATATATTCTTAACACTCTCCCTTGCTTATGGACTCAGAATACATGAATCTAGATGTTAGTCCGAGTACAACACATGAATTATTATATGAAAATGAAAGAGTGGGAAGATAATATTTCAATGATTTTAACTCACAACTACCTAGACCCAAAGACTTAGATATTAGTTCCTGTATTGATCCTATATTAAATTACTACTGGATTAAAGAACTTAAATTGATTGGTCAGGGTAAATTTAATATTTTTAGTATCTTTCTTTAACAAATAGAAGACAAGATAAGAAAACCTATTTTCATCTAAAGTTAGGAAAGGGTCAGCAAAGGACTGGAACATCGAACATGGCTACATATGCTTTCCCTCAACCTTCCATTTTTGTTAATTTATGCACATCAAAGGGTGACTTTTGGTTTGAAGGGCTAGTTTTCCCCCGCTTACTTTATTAAGAAATATTACTTGTTTAAGTCGAGTCCGTGAAGTAAGATGCTAACATATTGTATCATATGAATTTTTGGGTTGTAGTTTCTAAAATATGTCTTTATTGGTCAACAGAGTTAAGATCAACCTAAATGAAATATCGCATGACTCTGCAATGGGTCTTGTCAGCAAGGTTCTAGGCATGGGAGTTCTTTTAACTGAGGTAAATCTCTTCCCGGTTACTTGCACTCATTAGTCGGTTATGTGATTGTAATATTGTAATAGCATAGCTATAAGTTCTTCATGGTGAGGAAGTCGAATGAATGGCCTTTGGTAAATTCCATGTATCTTACGATCATGATTTTATTTGTACCATCTGAAGAAGAGAGAGAATGAGGAATCTTGAACTATACATGTTATCATTTCATGTTTTTCTTTTTGCAAAAGATAAACAAAATCAAGCTATCGGTTATTTTCTATTCATTTGAATGCCTTTTTCTTGTTAATTAAAGATCTCCAAAGTTAACAAGAAAATAAATGAACTACTTTTCTTTGTTGATTACAATAGTAGGGTGTTAGACATTCTTCACAAAGAGGAAGATCTTTAAAAAGTGAATTTGGTTGTGTTTTCATGATTTATTCAGGTCATTAGTCAATAATATCAGAGAGGGAAAAAAATCCTCATTAAGCATACCATATCTTTTATTGCCTTCATAGTTTTCTTGTTTATCCATTGATGATCTGAAGTCATCCGCAGATTTGTTCTACTCATTCCTTTTCAGATTTTATGCATTCATTCTTACCTTAGGGTGCCCCATGAACAATGTTAGATTAATCACTTGCATTTATTTTCAGGTTTATGTGGATACTGTTGGAGACCCTGAAAAGTACAGAATAAAATTATCTGAAAGATTTCCCAACGTTAAATTTGTCGTGGCAAAGAAGGCTGATAGTTTATATCCTGTTGTCAGTGGGGCAAGCATAGTCGCAAAGGTAATGCTAAAACTTTCTTTCTAGATCTGGCACTCCAAACTGTTTCCCACACTCAAATTCATCATCTCGACTTGTAGGTCACAAGGGATCGTGCGTTGCGGGAATGGGCATTAGAAGAAACAGCTGAAAACATGCATAGAAATTTTGGTTCTGGATACCCTGGAGGTGAATTTCACCTGCTATATGTTATTTGCAGCATAAAATCTCACGTTTTCACTGCACAAGGTGAAATCAATAATGCTCTTATGATTTAATCTATATAGATCCAACAACTAAATCTTGGTTAGAAGATCACAGACATTCGGTATTTGGGTTCCCCACATTGGTCCGCTTCAGTTGGGGTACATGCAATCCATATTTCAAAGACATTGTTGAAGTATCATGGTTAGTTGTTACTCTGCTCATCCAGCCATTTACATTTTCTTTATGCTCTCCATGGTACATCAAGGACAGGCGTTTTTTGCTATAATCTGCATGCTTCATGGTACCATTTTTTTATGATGGACGAGTCACATAATTTTCATAAATTTCCACACGAATCGAACTGTCAGTATTTTAGTTAAAAAATCAGACTATTATGTTTTTAAGAATTGTTCAAGTGCACTTGTCCAGAATATTATTAGTTGTCACAACGTATCAATCCTTATACTAACTATGTGGTTTTAAGTGCTTTGGTTGAATATGAAATTTGGTAATTCATAATAGACATTTTTTTATTGGTGTAATTCGCTTTACTGGGGTGTGCAGTTCTTTTCCATTCTGGATTTAAACCTGTTTTGTATTCAATGAGTTGTACCTTTATTCTAGTCCATTGTTTGGTTAAGTGCATCTGCTTTAGAGTTTGGACTTCCAAATAGTTTTGGTTCCTTCGCGGTGTCTACTATGTTGAAGCACAGCTATCTTTTTTGTTTTTGTTTTCCTTTTTTGATCTCAGAGCCAGTTTATATGCATATTTTTTACTCATCTTACGAGACAATTTCTTGACACTACAATATTTGGTTGTCATGAAACTCATAAAATTTTAATGTCTTAAGTGGCCACTGTGAAGTTTAAACCCATTTTCCCGAAGCCACATTCACTTTTTTTTCTTTTGCAAGTTTCAATTCCACTAGACCAAACGAGTGTAGTTACCCCATCTTAGCTTTCAGTAAATGAACATATTGCATTATGTGATCCATGTGTTTACCTTTGAGCTCATATATTGAAAAATAGATGCTTCTCATATTTAGAACCATCATGGGTGGTTTATTGGTTCAAAGGGGCTAGAGTTAATTAAGAGGAAATGACTTCAAGCCCCATGATGGCCACCTACTTTAGGAATTAGTAATTCCTAAATGTTTTCTAGTACCAAATGTTGTAGGATTAGGTGGTTGACCCGTGAGATTAGTCGAGGTGCGCATAAGCTGGCCCGGACACTCACGGATATCAAAAAAAGAAAAAACTTCTCATACTTCAACCTCCCTAACACTCACTCACAAACTTCAAATTGATTTTGTTACTAAGATTCTCTTGATTACCTCATCACAATGATGTCATACCATATCTTGTTTTCCTTTTTTTGTGCTTGGATGCACAGGGAATCAGACAAAGTGGATGAAGATGGGGCAAATGCTGGAAGTGGTAAGAAACAATTAAGACTAAGCAATGTTGGTATCACCACATCCAAGAGAAAGAGTGAAGAAATTGAATCAAATGCCAAAGGACGCTGCAAGTTTTTCCAGGCTAGAAAACTCGAACAACTCACTCACTTTTGAATGTTAAATTTGATCACTTTCCATGTCCTAACAACCATAACTTACAAAAACAGATTCAATATTGGATGGAATTTTAAGACAGCAGTTGATAAGCCGATCTAATTTGGCTGTGTACAAACGAAGTTAAAAGAAAACTGGGTATTGTACTAAAAAGAAAAACGGAGATATATAATTGAGGTATTTCCATGTCCAATGGTGAGTTTAGAATTACTTTTTTTTTTGGAAGTACTTGAATTGCTTCTTTTAAAAGCATTTTCAAGTGCTAAATGTTTTCAGCTTAAAAACACTTTTTATGTGACCAAAAATAAAAAATTTTAAAGAAAAGAGACGACTTTGAGAGGTTTTTTGGATGTGTTTGCGAGTGATTTTGACATGAATAAAATCACTTTTGCCATTGCTGTTTCCATTGATCATGTTTAGCAAATTAAGAAATTGATTTTAAGAAGTTTAAAATCACTTTAAACTGATTTTTAATGTATTACTTGGATGGTAATTTTGAAAAATCAATTATACTTAAATTCCTTTTTTCAATGTTACTCAATTTACCAATCACTTCCAAACGTACTCTTTCTCTATATAGTTTATATGCAAACAAGTTAAATGTCACATGCTTTCTTGACTTTCATAGGAAATCAAGATATAGCAAAAAAGATAAAACGCATAGCACAATTAAATATTTAACAATTTTCTTTTGCTAAATTCTTTTGCTAAACATGTAACACTTTCTCAAAGTTGATTCTATGAAATTAATTTTAACTTTTTAAGAAATATAGTTTATATGATTCAATAATGCTATCTATAAACCTTTGCCAAAAAAAAAAAAAAAAAACTATATTTCATATTTTTATATCATTTTAAAAAGTGCATTACTATATATATGAATATAGATAAAACCAACCTGTGACATTTTTCTTGCGTTTCCTTTCATTGTTATTAAAAAAAGGGACTATGTTATGACTAAAATATGTAAGACTAAAGGTAATTATGCCATTTTTTTATGGTTACAACACAATAAATAATATATATTTATTTATAATAATTCATATTTCCACTCTTTTTAGTCGGAACCTAAGGTTTATGACAGTAAAAAAAAAAAAGAAAACTAAGGTTTATAGTTCTCTAATCAAATGAGTCATGTTTAGCTTGAATAAATAATATTTTATTAAAAAAATATAATTGAGTGAAATTTTGAAGTTAGAGTAACTAATTCTTTAACGTTATGTTAAATAGATTTTAACCTCGAGACTTGAGCCAACTATATAACTAGCATAAAATAAATATATATTTCTGTTGATAGTTTGAAACTTTACAAAAATAACATAATTCAAATTAAAGTCAAACTCAATTGTGAGGTAAAAACAAAAAAAAACAGTCAAACATATGCTGTATTTAAAAAAAAGTTGTGACATTTTTAAACACATCATGATAATTTGGTAGGATTCGAATTGTATTAGTATTATGTTTCCAATTATAATTTGTGTTTTATTTGGTAGATAATATTGTTAGATATTATTTGAATTAGTTTTATGATTATGAATTTTCCTATAGGTGGGTAGGTTTGTAACCAGAGAAATCCATAATCATACTGTGTTATTCTCTAGAGAAATTTTTCGGGAGAGTCTAGGGTGCACTGTTGTACTGTTTCTTGTTGTCATAGACTGCTCCTCCATTTGCTTTAATCGGTGGAGGGGTGATTAATTTGTTCGTGATCTGATGATGGCTTAGATCCTTGGTACTTGTTAGTTTTGGGATTTTTGAAGTTTTCTTATTGCTTTTATGCAGATGAGTTTTTCTTTTTAGTTGTTTTTTTATTGGGTTGATTTTTGTTAATATATGAGTTCGTGGTCTCTCTTGCCAGAAAATTAAGTTCATGGTCTCTCGTGCTAGACAATGAGTTCATGGTCTATCGTGCTAGAAAATGAGCTCGTGGTCTGTTGTACCAGAAAATCGAGTTCGTCGTATCAGAAAATTGAGCTCATGGTCTCTCGTGCCAGAAATTCAAGTTTGTGGTTTCTCATGCCAGAAATTCAAGTTCGTGTCTCTCATGCCAGAAAAATCTCGTGTCAGAAAATAGTTCGCATTTAGGTTTTATTTGATAGATAGTATTATTAGATATTATTTGGATTAGATTTATGATTAGGAATTATATTAATTGTTTTAGAATTAATATTCTTACGATTATGAATTTTCTAATTATAAATAAGGGTAGATTTGTATCTAGATTGAGAAATTCAATTTAATAAAAATCATATTTTGTTATTCACTCATGGCATAAAATTTTGGAGTAACATTTCTTTATAGTTTATAACCTATATAGTTATATCTTCAAAAAAGAAAAAATACTTTAAATAGTTATGTTCAGATCTTTTTTTTTCTTTTGTTCAGAAATGGAAAATTATAAATCGGAATTGTCCCATGCTCCCGTTATATATAAATAATCAGATTTTGGGTGGATGATTAGAAAATCAGCTCATACAGGCGGGAAGGTATAAACGCTGTGCCTTCCCAATCGATTCTCATTTCTGGGTTTTAATTATTGATCATCCATCCCCATAAAAGCGATGTCGATTCATCATCGCTTAAGTTTATCACTCACATTCTTCCACTTTTTACTCCTCTTTTCTTCAAGAATTTCAGCGATCAGGTGAATTTTTCCACTTTCAGTTTCTAATTCCTCGCATTTCAATTCTCCATCACCCCTCTATCGTTGTTTTTCTTATGGATTTGGCATCGTAGTACTGTTCTGTGTCTGATTACGGAGAATAGAATCGAAAGAAAGATCCGAATTTTATTCTTGAGTTGGTGCTGTTCCGATTCTTGAATTTTGAAATCCTGCTAAACAGATATATCTTTCAGTCTCGTTAGTTTTCTTAAAGTACACCACGAGGGGGAAAGTGGATTAAATACATACTCTGTGTTCAGTTCTGCAGTTTAGCGGGAAAGTAATAGCTGGATTCTTCTATATGCTTCCTTCCTCATATGTTCATATCATTCTGTTCTTAGTTCTTTTGCATAATGAACTTGTCATCTTTGTTATTTGTTTTGTTTATTGAACTTAATGTGAACTCCCTGTTACAGCGTCTATTAGTGTGTTTTGTAGGCTTAATGTGTTTTGTTTGTTAACTTGTTCATATGTTTCATTGAAGGAATAATATTGGCTTAGAAATAACTAGCACCTGTAGGAGCACTGTTCAGGGAAGATATTTTCTGACCGATGATAAAGGTAAATATTTCTTTTATTAACTTCTACTTCATTTCATTTATATTTTTACTTTTTTTTTTCTTTAATCTTTTTTACTGTTACATTGTAGATCCTTGAATATATGCTTTCTCTTACTTGATTTCAAATTTTTTGTCTTTAGGGGTTTTTGAAAAATTGGTAAATGAAAAAGTTAGTTTCTCTTGATTTTTTTTCCTTTTTTTGCTGTCTGAGTTTGATTTGTTTGATTCGCACTTCTCTGATCGTGTCATACTGTTAGATCTCTGATAATGTACCTTTGGTAGGAAAATCACAAGAGCTGTATGGATGTGCACAGTGCCTAATAAAACCAAAGTTATTTTTTGTTTTCTTTGGTTAAATTACAAATATAATCTATGAACTTGGATGTTTGGTGGTACTAACATGGCAAATAAAATCTAAAAAAGAATGCTTTTAGTCAGAATTATTGTTCTTTATGAAGAAAGAATGAGGAGAATCAGAAGCATTCATTATTTTTCTGCCCATATATTCAGAAATGTTGGTTCAATCTATATCAATTGTTTGGTTTTAGTTGGGCGTTTCATTGTTGAGTGGTAAAAAATAAAGAGTATACTCTTTATGCCCATGATCTTAGAAGGCAAAATTTATTTGGTTAAAAGCATCTATGACAATCCTGTGGGAGATTCGGCTTGGGTGAAACTAAAGTGTACTTGATATAAATTAAAAAGATTGGGAAGAAACATTGGATTTGAGCCCTTTTGTTATTTCTTCTCGAATATGGCTTCATCAAAAGTTCACTTCTCTAGTACAGTTGGTGGAATGGGGGGTACCCCTTCGTGTGGCTGGTAGGGTCATGGATTTATGCAAATACTGAAAGGTCTAAAGAAAATTCTTTTATTATGGAATAAGGATAAATTTGGCTGCGTCCTCCCAATTGAACAAGCTTTGTAATCCTTTGTAGAAACTCAATGTCTTAGAGGAATCCTCCTCCCTTAGCCATGACCAAAAAGCAGAACATCACTCCATCAAAGAGAAACTCACCTTCCTCGCATTGAAAAAGAAACTCTTTGGTGCCAGAAATGCAAAGGCAAATGGCTTTTAGAAGGTGATGAAAACATCTGATTCTTCCATAAGATTGCAAATTCAAAGAAACATATAAGCTCCATTTGTGAAATTCTATATAAAAGCTCCATTTGTGAAATTCTATCATTGAATGACAAAAGCCTTCTCTCTGACATATATAATGAAGAAGATTTTGTGGGTTTCTTCACTTGGATTTAGTCCAAAAAAGTTTCTAGATGCTTTTACCAAGTAATCTTCGTCAGGATCCTATCTTCTCTAGCACAATCAATTATTAGAAAGCTGATTTCATTGAGATAGAAATTGTAAATGCCATTGATTCTTTTGGTTTAAATAAAGCTCTGGGTCTAGATGGTATTATTGCTGAATTCTATAAATAATCTTGGAACACCCTCAAGGCTGACTGACATATAAGGTGTCCTATGAACAAATTTAGACCTATTAGCTTCATTCCTTGTGTATACAAGATCAGTATCATAGTTCTCTTACAAGACTTTGTGATCGTTCTAATGTTTAAGCTCCATTTCACCCAAGAGAGAGAGAACAGATTGTATATCAACGATCATAGTAGAGTTTCTATTCCCTCAAATTGGCCTCAACTCCCACTGTTATATGTAATTAGTTGGTGATTGTGAATTTGGCTGTCTTTCTTGGCCTCTTTCCCCTTTTTATGCTAACTTTTTACAATGCGGGTGTTTCTAGTTAAAGGTTAATCCTGGGGTAATTGATCATGTTGCATACTTGCATACTACTATTTGCTATACTCTTAGTTACTATAAGCGATAATGCATTTCAAGGCTTCAATGTGCTAAATCTTACCCTTTTTTTTTCTATCATTACCTCTGCCTTCTGGCTATGACTATTCTCATGTTTCCTACTTATTATTGTATCTAGATTTTATAATATTTTATCAAATACTAAATATTCTGTAGATTGCTGCAATTTTGTAAATACTTGCTTTTGTTAGAAATTGCAACTTACATATAAAACCTACAGCATAATGATTGTGCTCGCATTGCAGGCTACGTATGTAATGCTTTATCTATTGATCCACTATCTCATTGCTGCCTTGGGAACGGGGAGAAATTTCCTTGTCAGTGAGTTTTTTTTCCCAATAAATTTTCGAATAGTTTATGATGAGTGTAAGAGCTCTGTCAAGATTAGTGTTTATTTTTCCTTTTTCACTTTGCAGTGGGTGCAATCTTGTTTCGCAATGTTGCAATTCCTATGAATATTGTGTTTCATGCTGTCAGGGTCCTTCAAGGGTATGATGAGTTTCTTCTTGATTATAAATGCTTCTTTCATTATCTCTTTATGTATTCGAGCTGGAATCTAAAAATCTGTGGCTTTGTGGATGCTGCTTGCAGACAAAAAGGGAACAAATACTAAAAATCAAAATTGCCAAGCCGGCTTCTGCAGGTAATATTCTACAGACCAATAATTATTGTCATTTTTTATGCAGTTTATTTTAGTAGTTTCCATTATAGTTTGTACATAACCTTCCATTATGAGTAAGAATGTAGGTTGTATTTAAGCTTATTCCATTTCTTATGGACAAGTTGTTTTAACAAAAAGTAGTATGCAATAAGGCTCTTCAATGGCATGGCATAGAAAGGTCGAGTAGCTTTGGGAAGTTATCTTTTTGCCGCTTCTTTTGTTTTGTCCTCCTTTTGTAAATTTCACATGTCAATGAAATTGTCGAACTAAAGTAACTCTTTAATGTAAAAGATGTATAAAAAATTGGAAAAATAAGATGTCTCCCAAAAATTGGAGCTCAATAGAAATGCTCCAATTTTCTGGATAGGTAACCAGGTAATAATTGCAAAAATATTTAGAAAAGGAGATCTAACTTTTCTAGAAATCTTAATAACAGAAAAAGGAAAAGTAACTTGGGTTTTGTGTTTTCCTAGTATCTTTACTTAGCATATTTATATCTACTTTTACCTCTTTTCTCTCGACAACTTGCACCCATTTTTTTCTGAAGTTATAGAAAGTTCGAGTTCTAGAATTTGTGGGAGAATTGACCACATAGACACTGTTCGGAAATTTTTTCTCTTTCCCATTGTTGAATCTCTGTAGAGTGGCCGGTGAGAACCACATTGGTGCATTGCCCTTTCTCAAGTCATATATCCGGTCTAAGTTTTGCATATTTTTTGATATTAGCTTCAGTTGAAATCTAGTATGTAGTTTAGGTGTTGGAGGAGATTTTGGTTATCCCATGTGTGTAGGTAAAGATTTGTTTAATTAGTGAGCTCCCTCACGATTTTGTGAAGTATTATTTAGTTGGAAAGCAGTAGAAGGATTTTGAAGATAAGTGTTCTGAATAGGCAAAGGTTGGGACTATTGCTCACATCAATGGTTGTCTTTCGGATTGTACTTCTAACTTTTTCCATGATATCCTCTTTTCATTAATTAATGATGCAGCTTAAATATTTGATACTATACTAAATCTTGCAGGTACATATGCCAGCGTCTTTGACTTCTGTGTTGGGAGGTGTCGTCATAATTCTGAGAGTGTTGTAAGTATCCTGCATTGATATTTTCTTCTAAATGCTTAATGTGAAGCCTGTGTCGTTGCATTTTATTTGAGTCGTTTGATGATTGTTTATCAGAGTTTGGAGAATATTTTAAATAAATAAAATCTTTTTGCATGCTAAATATGTCAATAGAGGTAACTTGTCCTTTAATTAAGAATCTTTATCTTATGGCGCTACCATAAGGCACTGTCTGATTCATCGTATCATGAGATACCAAAGAGAGTACCTCTCATGTTTCCTCCCATATTTTATTTTGCTTCCATCGCCTAGGACCAGTTTTGGGTGGGTCTCTTATGATAGGTCTCTTCCTAGTAATTGACCACCCACTCTATGATAGATCTCTATGTAAGGTAGTCTGGATGGAATGCCTTTTTTATTTTTATTTTAATTAAACCCAGCTATACATGTGCAATCATTTTTCTAGTATAAAGTAGTGTTTACAAAAATAGACGTTTTTATAGTTGTAGAACCATAAATGCCTTGTGCCAGTCTAAGAATATCCTTTTAAATGCCTTACAATTTTATCATTTTGATTTATAATCCCTGTAAACTATGATGAACGAATAATCTGTCATCATATTTTTTTTCAGGTGCACGAAAATGCTTATCACAGTGATTACCATCATTGCTTTTCTCTGCCGTCATATTCTTCAGGTTAGTGAAGTTGAATTAGATTTGGGCCTCTTCTCTGACTGCTGTCAGTTACCTTGAAATATTCATTCGCTTTTAGAATTATTTCAATGAGGTCCTTCCATGTGTAACATTTTTTTTTACCATTTTCCATGTGTGTTTCATTTTTCTAGCATTACTGGGTTTTCACATTTTCCATCTGTTGCCATTATTTCATATTTGTTTGCTTTTGATCTACTATTTCACTATAGTTAAAATATCAGCTGTCTTTCTCATTTATGCATTTAGATTCAGTGTATTGTAATTGTTGTAATTGCATTCTTTGGATGTTTATAAGAAATAAGAATAAAATTAAAAGTGTGACATTCAAGAGATGGGATCATTATGTAAAAAATCCATTGTAGCCTATGCGATATGGAAATGGTTCGTGGCTGAAAGATAAAGCAAAGGCGCTTTTGAAGTGTGCAGTTAGAGCTTTTTTTGTGGATTCTTTGGTACAACATACATCCAACACTTGGAGTGCCCTTCACAAGATGTTCTTTCATAGACACAGTACTTTTTCTGTTAATTTGAATTAGAAAGGCTTCATGTAATAGTCATCTCCAGGCGGGGGTTTTCCACTCTTGGCCATTAGGTTGTACATGTTTACATCTTTTTCTAATATATAAACAAAAAACGATTGGTAGGCAACTAGGTAACTTGGAAGAATTGGTACAGATGAAATGTGAACGTTTGATCAAATTTATATCCTAAGATGATCGAAAAATGTTGTAGAATCAACACAGTAATGCTAAAAAAACCTAAGAACAACCAAAATCTTGTAACATTACCCGTTTTTCAGGATTTCATATTCTATCCTCCCTTCTGGAAATCTTCACACTCTAAGTCTCTAACACTTTCAAGATTCTGCAACAATCATCCACATTCTCCTCACTGCAATCCTTTAGGATCTTGAAGTAATCTCCCAAGCTTCATGTTACCATCAGTTTTTTGTTGGCCGATACTGCTAAAATTCTAGGAGACTAACTAATAACATGTTCCAAGATGACAATCCCTCTCCATTTCTTATGAAAACTTTTTGTAAGTTTCTTTGTTGTTGATATATCCATTTGGTTAGATGGTCTAATTCCTTTGTAAACATAGACATACTTACTACATGCTTACATTATAACCTCCACACTCCAATGGTTTAGCAACTTTATCCCGAACACCAAGTGAAAAATCTTCTTCTCGAACCTTTTCCTTGTCAGGAAAAAGGAAAAAAAATATCTTATGTCTCTTAATTTCAAACCATATTTTCCTTAATCATTCTAAATGAAGATCTCTCTCCATTTCCTATCTTGATTAAAGAAAACTTTTCAAAAGTTTCTTTGTTTTTGACAAAGCCAATAGGTTAGAGGGCTCGTTATTATATATACGTGTAAATATATATATGTATCCCCTATTTCCAAAACTTCCACACTCCAATGGTTTAGCAACTTTATCCCAACCACCAGATGAGAAATATTCTTCTCGACCCTTTCCCTTGCCAAAAAAAATCCCATACGTCTCCTAATTTCCAACTCTATTTTCTTTGGTAAAGCAAAGAGGGAGATATAGTTGGTAGGAAGGTTTGCTAAGACCACATTGCATTAAGTTTGCATTCCAACTCTCGATAAACTATCGAGAGTCAGAGCTTTGCTCTCCTATACCTGAGGCACCCACACTCTCCTGAACGCTCGAACCCGAGAGACATAAAAGATTTCTTGTATTAAGCTCACCTAAATGTTCGAATTTGAGATCTCTAAGCCGATATGACCAAGAGATGCAAGCCCTTGCCAATGGAGCCGCTCCTTTTGGGGCTTTTTTTTCCATCTATAAATTGTATCTCAACATTTCCTCCACCTATTGGTTCCCACCCAATACTCTTATGTTTTTTTTTTCCTTGAATAATCATGAAAATCCTATAAAAAATTTATCTTTAGTTTAAACGTTTAAAATTAAATTGTTGCTAGTAACAAAATTTTAGGTTAGATCAAAATCAGTGTCAGTTTAGGCATTTAAATTATTTCTCAACATGAAGTTATTACTCTGGATACAGAATGATGTGTGCAGAGAGTTGTGATATATGATGAAGTATCTTATGTTCTGAACTTCTGATACTTTATCCTAACTCCCGAGGTATTCATTAGATTTCTAAGAAATTAATAATTTACTCCACTTTCTTTAATCCTTCTGTTATGTTTGTGATTCATTTTCAAAATCTGGATTATTCTTTATGATATAATTTTCTAAGCATTTACGTTCATGTGGTTTTTTATTTCTTATACAAATCAATTAATTATTCTTAAATGGGCTTCATAGGAGTCAACAGTACACAACTAGAATTCAGACTCAATGGCATCAACGTCGTTGTTGGAAGGTATCTTTTAGGCGTAGTTATTTTTATTTGTTTATTGATTAAATTACAAGTTTAGTTTTTGAACTTTCAGAATTGTCTAATAAGTCTCTGAACTTTAAAGAGTGTCAAATAGATCCTTAAACTTTCAATTTTGCATCTAAGAAGTTTTATGAAATTGAAAAGTATCTACTAGGTTCTTGAAATTTCAATTTTGTGTTTACTAAGTCTTCTAACCTATTAGCCATTTTTTAAAATTCACGTATCTATGAGACACAAAATTGAAAGGTCACGGTTCTATTAGACTCAAAATTCAATTTTTCATCCAATAGGTCTGTGATATGAAAAAATATTGAATAGGTTAGGGATCTATTAGTGACAAAATTGATAGTATAGGAACTTGTTAGACATTCAATAGATCCTATCCGATGACCTATTAGACACAAATATGAAAGTTTAACGATTGAACTTGTAATTTAACCCTGCTTATTTTATACATTGTTTGACCTCTTTCTTATTCTTTCAAACACAATGGATGATAGGCAAGGAGAGTCATGTGATTCAGTTTGCAAGTCAAATGGACAATCGTGCGTCCCAAACAAAATTGCAGTCCTGAATCAATGTGACATGTGAGTAGCTGTTTTTTTAGTATAATATTTTTCATAGACATCTCAAAATGATTGTTTGATTTATCCTTTTGTGGTTGGAAAATTTTTTAGCTCAGTTTAATTTGACTTTTGATACTCACCCCTTCCCTTGGAGGTTTCTTGATTGTACTCCCTTTCCATTTATTATTGGGCCATTAAATTTTGTCTTAATGCATGTGATTTTTTATTGAAAATTGGAAATAGTTTACTCCCAATTAATGATTAATTTGGTTCTTTTCAGTGGTGTGGTTTATTACTCCCCTGAATTATGTATTTTCTTATAATCATCATATTCATGGCGTTTTCTTTCTTTTGGGATAGCATGCAAAAATATTTAAGCTGTAAAGGAGGTTGCTTAGCAAGTGTTGGGTCTGACCAACCTGCTGAAGTTGCTTATAGTGCTCCCAAAGAACTGGTATGTTGTCCTGTTCTCTTTTTGAATAGATTATCAGAAGTAATTACCACTATTAGACCAGACCATAAATATGGGATAGTTTAGAGAAAACACCACTTTGAGCTGCTAATTGACTTTTCATTTTATTTTCAAATTGCACCCAAATACACTCTGGACACTGATTCTTTGTTGTCATGATGGAATTGGAAGACTATTAGACGAGTAATCAGAATGAAACGAGTGGATTAGAAGAGATTATTGGACGTATAATCAGTAAGAACAAAATGACTGGGACCTGGAACAAAACTCTTCTACTGTGATACTGCAATATTGGGATTGAAACCAAATTACCATTGATGTTGTTTATCAATGTCTAAAATAAGAAATCAATTTTCAACAAAAGGGGAGAGAAGTGAGAAAAGGAAGTGGAGATAATACGAGACACTAAATGAGTAAATAAGTTGAGCATTGTAATCGGGTCGTGAATTACAGGATAATCTTGTTCTTTTTTTCCTCCTCTTTCTGGTTGTCTGAGTACTCATGCATTCATGGAAGTGGATCAAACAAAATGAGAATAACAGTATGATGTTACAACATGTACATTTTCTTTTGACAAGGAAGCAAAGCTTTCGCTGAAACTGTGAAAAGTTACAAGCAAAGTTATAAAAAACTCCCGGTAAGAGAATAAATACAATAAAAACAGACTCGTAGAGATTGTCAACGATATTCCATAGTCAAGGAAATGCATTAAAGCAGTTCTTCTTCAGCTTATTCTTCTTCATGGTCATTCTCACTAGAGGTTATAATATGCATCATTTTATATTTGGTTCCTTGCAGTTATTTAGAAGTTAGAGACAATTAGCCATCAACACTTAATGATATGATAACTGATATAAATCTGATTTTTACTGTATGAATATCAGAATCCAGGAGCGTGCTTATATAGTAGCACACAGTCAATGCTTTCTTGCGATGGCTCTCACCAGCATACCAGGAGGCTTTGCCCTTGCGCGTAGGAGATTTTATAGGTATGTTCGAGTCAAGTTCTATCGACTCTAGGTGTTGGAAGAATTTTAACAATCTGTGTTACTGGTTTGAGGTATTGGGATTGAAGTTTATGTTTTATAAAATTCTAAGCTTTTTGATAGGTTGAAGACGTGTCGAAATGAATTTTAAAAAAATGTAGAATAAGTCGACATAAAATTAAAAATTGAAGGACCTACCCAATACTTTTTAAAGTTCACGGACCTATTAAACATAACCCTAAAAGTTTAAGAATCAAACTTGTAATTTAACCACCCAAATAAAAACAAAACCAACTCTGAATACACTTCATAGTTCATACACTTGAAAAGTCACAAAAACCTCTACAATATGAAATAATTATCAAAGATTCCACATCTGGAATCAAAATGAACATTAGAACCAACCTAATTGTTAGATACTTATATATGATATACGCCTATCAATCTTTAGCAAATTGTTTTTTATTTGCTACCTGTCTCTATTGTTGTTTTATTCCTTCTTAAAAGTTTTGATTTAGATCAATATTGAAATTGATTATGATCCTCTAGAATGTTATAGTTTTGGCATCACGGTTGAAGATGGGTAATCCTTATGTGGGGAAATTTCAAAGATGGGTTGTGAAAGTTTGGATTATCCTTGACTATCAAAAGTTCATATTTGCAGGGAATGCCATAATTTTCATGCTTTCAATTGCAGATGGAAGTAAGTTTTCATGTCAATAGTTTATTTTTAATTTATATTTGAGTCTGTACCATTCCCCATCATCTTTTTTCTCCATTTCTTTCTTTCTTTCTTTCTTTTCTGCTTGTGATTTGGAGAGGAAAAAAAGGTTGTTTGGTGTAATGGAACTTCAACGTTATTTGTAAGATTAAATGCAGCAGGTTAAAAGGAGAGAGATTAATATACAACAAAAGAAAGATTATTTCTTTATGGACATTTCTTCATGTTTTGCTACTCCATAAAGAGAGGACAAGAAAAGAAAAAACAAGGAAATCAAATACAAATTTATTGTTTCTATTTTATTTTATTATGCCTTTTGGAGATGAACAAGAGTTTGTAACACTATGTTAGTCCTTTTTTTTTTTTTAACTTTTTATTGGTTTAAAATTGTATGTCTTTGATAGTACTACATATTTGTTGGATTGAAAAACTTGACACATTAAATCATTCTAATTATACTCATTTTCATTATATTCTATTACAATATTTCAAGTTTTTTTTTTAAAAATTAAAACAGTTTTAAAGAAAAAATAAGTCTATGCAATCCCCACCCCCCGTCTCCGCCCGAACCTCACGGGGGCGGGTGTGGAGATGGGGATTGCCCCCGGCTCCTCCTCGCCTCGGCTTGTTGTCATTCTGCTCCGTTGTCTCTAAATTGATTATTGACTTCCTCATAATCATATCATATTAGTTCTCTCCTCTTATTTTAATTGGGTATATTTTTGAACCTACAATATATTTTCAATTGTGTGCGTATAAATGATATTCGCTATGATAATTAATATTGGGTAATATTGTTGAGCAACAATAAGCAATTTGATATTAGTATGAAAAGTATATATCGAGTATATATTTCAGTGCAAGAACAATAACCATTAAGAAACATATGTTCACTAGTAGGTTTAGTGACAATACATTTCATAAATGTCTCCATTATCTACCTTAAATGAAATATAAGGAAAATAAATAAATATGAATAATCGATATCTATATCTATAGTATATATAAAAGGAGTTATGGGGAGAAATTTTTTCTTCCTATTTTGTCCTCATAGATATTTTGAGGGCAATTTTATCTTTTAAATATAAAATTTTCTCTCTCACCCCCCATTTTTCTCCCTCCTCACTTTCCCATTTTTTTTTCATTTCAAATATTTAATCTCCATTGTTACAAATTTTACATTTCTCAAGTTAATTTTCTCTTTCTAATAAACTATCACTCTTAAAGATTAGAATATAAAGAGTTAGAATATGAAGCGTTTTGTCTATTTATTTCTATGTTAAAAAGTTATAACTTATTTTGAATTATAATTAATAAGGAATTTCAAAAGTTTCGTAACTTTTTATTTTCTACAACTATATAAAGAGTTTTTTCTTACTCTTTCTCCCAACATTTTCTTCATCAAAACTTGAGTTTCTTTTCTCTTTCGGTATGTAAATTTTCTCCTTTAGTCAATGTCTTGTATTTTCTTATATTTAGTTAGATTGTTTGATCGAATATTCAACTTTTTTAGTTATTTTTTTTCCAAACGACTCAATCAACTGGAAAAAGAAAAGTGAAAATGAGTGATAAGATCGAAACACCTTGGATGGATCCACTTTGGGATGACACTTGGTAACCGCGAGGACCCTCTCAATGACCTCCTCCTTGGTAAGGTGATCATTGTGTGATGAAAATAGCCGGAGCAATCCATCGGAACATGGCTGCGGTTGGCATTCCCGGCGAGCTAGGGCAAGGAATTGGACCGGAACTCAAACATGGCAAAGAATGGCTGCCCTGAACGCATCTCTATCTCTCACTTTTTTTTGTCATTTTATTTTTCAATGACTCGAATAAGAAATTGAAACAAAGTTGTATTTACTTTTATGTATTGTTATGTTTAGGAAAAAAAAAGATGAAAAATCCATGAATATGTATTTTTTAAAAAAAAAATTTAAGTAATTGAAGAATAATACTTTTAGTCACACTAACCATATCAGTGGGTGATGAGAATTATTGAGACGTTGTTTTATGAGATAAACATTGAAAATACGAAAAAACTTGGTGAGGTAAACATTTAGAAATAAAAAAATCAAATTATATTATAAATTTTAACTATTTAATTAAATTTTATATTTTTAAACATTGAAATAAAAACTATTGAAATTTCACGTGCACCGCATATAGAGTTGAGGAAATCTAGGGATGAAAATCAAATAATTAAACCTGAAAATCTTGATAAAAATGGAATTTATGAAATATAGGAAACTAATTAGTAGGCAGAGCTAGTTTTGAGTTTTGTGGTTGGTTTACACATTTTTGCAACTTGTTTTATTGTTTATTGGATATGATATTTCTATGATTAACTTATTCTTGTTTAAGATTTAATCGGATGAAATTGAGAACTAAAAGTATAAGGTTAATACAGGAGTAAAAACATATATACTTTTTTCAAACTTAGTAGAAATGGAAATTTAAAGTACCAGGATCAAATAATCAAAAAAATGATATTTAGAATATTTAATTATCTTAAAGTAATTACTAGAGCATATTCGAAATTTTTAGTACAAACAGTAAGATTTTAAAATTTATAGACCAAATGTATCTTTTATCCAAATTTGAAGGATTTTTATTTAAGTTTAAATATTAAAACATATTTAATGAGTAATCTGCAAAGACATATATTCTTGACCAAAAGTTCGTAGATTCGAATTTCTTCACCCACATATTATTGTACTAAAAACACATTTTTGAAATGGTACCATAAATTTGTATTTAAGAGTTTTATATAAAATTTGTGTTAAAATTTAGATTGGTCTCTTTTTAATCAAAACAAAAGTATAAAAATAAAAATAGTATTTAAACTTTTTTATTTAAAATTTTCAAATGGAATAGAACTTTTTCATGTTGTAAAAAAACATCCCAAGTGGTTGGATAGAGACGTGTAGGGAGATGCCTGTCTTAAATATTTTATTGAATTTTTACGTTTTTATCCTTTGTATACGTTATTATGTGTATATATAATTTTTTTTCGGAAGAAATGTATATATATAATTTACAAATCTTACAATGGTTAAATTATAATTTCTTTTGTAAGAGTATTAAATTATAGATTTACCCCTAAATAGATTTAAACATTTTCAATTATACTTTTATTAAATCTCTACTATTAATGCAACGAAAAATATTGGGGTAGTATTATCTATTCCATTCTCATGCTTAATTAACATGTCACACCAATATTTTGTTTGAAATATTAATACTATGAATTAGATAGAAATATAGTCTAAGTTTCTAGATGTGATTATAACTTACAATATATGGATTAAATTTATAATGATTCACCATGCTACAATTTACAAGGGAAATTTGAACCTTTTTTTTTAATCTCTCTACTTGGCTTAGCAATTAGCAAGTCAATTTAAACATTGAGCTCGTAAATTCAAATAAGCTAAAACATTTATATTTTCGCAAAACCGAATAAAAAAATTACCCATAAACAACTCATAATTCACACAAAATTCTAACTAAAAAAAAAAACTCAAAATCAAGCCCCAAATAACACTTAAATCCAACCACGAACCAACTCGAACCTAACCACAAAATCGAACCGATAAAATAAACATAAAATGATGCTCAAAGAAAAAAGAAAATAGTTTATTCACAAACTGGAACATAGAGAGACTTAAAAGTCAACGTAAACGCAGTTCAACGATTTTTGATCTCGAATCTCCTACCCAAGTTGTACTAGAAAAACATAGAAGACCCAAGAAGGTAAGTTGTTAAAAGAATCAAATAAAAAAGAAAAAAAGGCAGTTAGTAGAGAAATGCAATGGAGAAGAGAAGATACAAGTTTTGTAAAGAATGAAAAAGCAACAGGAATTTTGAATCATAGAGAACAGCTTAGAGCTCAGATGAGACCAAGAATTTAATGTTGAATTGAATCTCATTCTTTCTCTCCCTCATTCTTTCTCCTTTTCACAAGAGAGAGGAGAGGAGAGAGAAGAAGAGAGAGAGAGAGTTCACAATCCTCCAATAAAAACCAAGGTTTTGGAAACTTTTCCCTTTTGGGTGTGCTTTGCTTTTTAGAAATTATGCTCCAAGAACAGCTTTTGCTGAGGGGAAGCAGGTCCAATCTCTTCCTCTAAACTCTTCAAACCATCCCCCACACCTCCACAATTCCCTACATTTCTTGCTTCCAAGTTCTTCCCATCAACATCTGCTTCTGAGACTGATGATTTCCGCCGTTGGGACGACGTCACACTTGGGAATGTGATCCACGACGGGGCTCTGAACTCGAACCTTTGATCCTCAGCTTCTGCTATATCCGTTTCCGACGCGGAACGGTTTGATGATCTTTGAGATGACTTCTTGTGCAGTCTACTGCTCCCTAAGACGACCTCGGTTGGTAAGATTGGCTGTTCGTTACACGGGCTTCCCATTAACTGGGCAAGCGCACGCTCTAGCGCGGTCGTCACTTTGTCCATTGATGGCCTCTCCTTCGCTCTCATTCTCACACATTTACACGCTACGTTTGCAATCCTCTTCAGGGCCTCGATATCGGAAGGCGGTTTCAATATCGGATCTAGAATTGCAGAGATGTCTCCTGATTTGATCAGAGGCACTGCCCATTCTACTATGTTCCCTTCTTCATATTGCATATCGATGGCTTTCCTACCACTGAGAATTTCTAGTAGCAAAACACCAAAGCTATAGACATCAGACTTGGTTGTGAGGTAATGGAGTCTATAGTATTCGGGATCGAGATAGCCTAGAGTCCCAGCTGGTAGCTCTGCTAATGGAGAGCTACTATCGGTCGGTCCCAACAATGACAAGCCGAAATCAGCGACTCGAGCATTATGCTCTTCATCGATGAGAATGTTCGACGACTTGATGTCTCGATGAATGACGGGAGGACAAGCATAGCCGTGCAAGTATTCGATTCCCCTAGCTGCTTGGACTGCAATTGTGACCCTTCTTATCCAATCTAATTGCTCTTTCAAGGCATTGTTCTTGCCATGGAGGTGCTGATGCAAGGAACCATAAGCCATAAATTCATAAACTAGAAGCCTCTCTCCACCTTCTTCACAATAACCAAGCAGATTAAGCAGATGGGCATGGTTTAATCTTGAGAGCAAGTCAAGTTCAGTGTGAAACTCTTTTGAATTCTTCTGCATGTTGGGAGACATTATAGCCCTTTTGACCGCAACGACTGTCCCGTCCTTCAAAACACCTCGAAAAACACAGGAGAAACTTCCCTTTCCCACAATGGACTCTTCGTTAAACCCGCACGTCGCTCTCTCAAGTTCTTCATAGGTGAACATCTGAGCCCTCCTTATTTTCAGCTCGTCTAAGTCAGGGCGTATTTTGTAGTTCTCCTTCTGGAAGGAAGAGGCATTCCCTTTACTTTTCTTGGACTTCAACTCCTTTCCCGAGCAATGGCAGTTCCGTAACTTGTACCGAACGTATAAGATTGCAGTTAAAGACACAATAGCTACCAAAAACACACCAAAAGCAATCTCAGCTACAAGAACTGGGAGCTGCATTGACCAGAACTTCTCAGTTTTCTTCCCCATCATACTATTTTTATACATGGATGAACAGTTTGAGATGCATTCACCAGAAAAGCAAATTGAACAGTTATATTCACATTGTCTGTCAGATTTTAAGGTGCACTCAAATTTTTGGTACATCTCAGGAGGGCAAGCAGTGCTGCAGGGCATGCACACATGAAAGCCTGGCGACTTGCACCGAGCGCTGTCTTGGCTAATTTCGTAGAAACCGGGAGCACAAGGAGTTGCTTTACAGATTCCAGGCGAGACAGCTAAAGGTAGAGAAGTAGGAAATCCGAGGCCCCAGCAAACAGGCAAGAGAGATTTTTCAGCTAGAATTCCACAAGTGAAGTAATCTCCAGCTGCAATGTCATAAACTTTAATCCTCTCCGGTGGCGGAGTACTTGGTTTGACCGTAAAACCCCAACAAATCACACCACGGTCCAAGCTCTTGATTCCACAAGCATGGAATTTGCCCCCAACAACAGAGTCTAAAGGATCAACTGGAACCAAGTCCACATTTCCTTCACCTGAATATGCAACTGAGATCTCTTCTTCAATGTCTAAGCTCCTTCCCCAACAGAAGGCTCTCGCCTTCGCGCCCTCTAAAATCCCACAAACATGATATCCACCAGATGCAATCTTTTGAAACCTCTTATCTTTAGGTACCAAGGTGATTACCCGGCTGCTCGTCTCATCACCCCAACAGAAAACAGTTCTATTAAGAGAAAACAGCCCACAGTTGAACTCAGAACCTGCCGAGATCGATTCGATCGGGCCATCAAATGCAAAGGTTCTGGTCATGTTGTAACCCCAACAATCAACAAAAGATGTGTTCCTACGCCGTCCAGTCAGAGGCGTTCGGAGTCCACAGAGGTGGTAATCACCGGCACTGATTTCCAAGTATTGAGCTCCTTTGCTCATGGGCTGAGGAACACCCATTTGAACATACCCACTGCTTCCCCAACAATAAGGTTGGTTGGAATCCAAAAGAAGCCCACAAACAAAGCCATCACCAGCAGTGAGACCAATGAATGGGAAATGAGAAGGGGTTCCATAAGTTATGGCTGAATTTGAACCAAAGCAACTCACAAGATGAGACCCATCTGACTTTAAACCACAGAAAACAGGCCCTTTCTCACCATAAGAAACAGCAACAGAAGACATTGAACCTAAACCAGACACCAACAAACACATATCTGCAAAAACAACCAATTCTACAAACAATCCAGCTTTCCAAACATACATCTTCTTCAACAACAAAAGTACCAAATCCACCAACAAGAACAACCCCATTACAGACCAAACCAATCACTCAAGAATTCAACAACAATCTCATCTCCAAGTGTTCCATGAACAAACAGAAAAGCATCACAAATTACATAAACAAGAAGAAAATCAGAGCAAGCAAAGTTCAGCTAGACAGAGAGATTAAAGAAACTCCTACAGCACATAATTCAAAAATCAACATCCGAGAAACCCATTAATTCACTCATTTCTTCTTCAAATCCCAAGAAATTTAAAATGCAGTCAGTTCCTCATCCTTTTCGAGAAAACATACCCATTAAACCTCAGATTCGAGCAGGAGAAGACAACCCAATTCATATTCAGAAGCCACAAAACTACCCATTAAACCTCCGTCCTCTTCTCGCACCTCTTGCTTCCGATTAGAAAAAAGGGAATCATGGGAATCGCTGCTGGGAAGAAGAAATAACAGAGAAATGGAAAGAAGAAGGAAGAAGATGGATGAGAGGGAAAGAGAAAGAGAAGAGAGACTTAAATGCCGAAACTACAACTTCTGACATTGGGAAAAGCGTAGGTGAAAGCAATAAATGAGAAGTTAATGCGGTTTTGATCTTTTCATGCCTGGATTACTGCACTCCACCACCCAATCCCCAAACATTTCTTTTCCCACTTTTAATTTTTTTCCTTCCCTCGAACAGTTTGGTTCAATCTTTGGCCGCACATACGAATTACAGGCAATGAAGCATTGTCTTCTTCCTCTTCAATTCAAATTTCTTTAAAAAAAACTGGGTGCCGAGCTTCCTCCGTCCGCTCCCATGGCTTCCGCTTCCGCGAACTGCAAATCACGGAAATGGGAGAGAATATGGAAGAAACAAAAGGGTGGTGCCTGCTTTTTTCTCTGATATATTAAATTGCGTACTTTTTGTCAAAATCAAAACGGCAGTTGGGATTATCAGAATAAAGCATTTTTCACCATTTTTGTTTATGCTTTTGTTTATTTGTCTGCGGTGCTGCAGTGGAGTTCTATTCTGCTCAATTGCTAATTTTATTTTAATTTTCTTTTATCTGTTGCTTTTATTATTCGATTACCCAATTTTGAATTCTACCGTTAGAATTTTACTGTTGATTGCAATTACCTCAATAATAGCCGTATTTTAGGTTTAAATTGTGTGCTTCTTCCATTTTAGTATCAAAGTCAACTCGATAATTCGTATATATCTTTGAGTTTCCACCCACTCTAAACTATAATGAAAAAAATAAAGAAACTAATATTAAATTAGAAGTAAATTTTAGAATGTTTCCCACAAAATTTTTAATTTTCAAAGGTGTATCTATCTAATTCTTAAAAAATTTCTAAATTTAGTAATGGCTAAGTGAGAATCAAACTATCAATTTTTGCGATCGGTATAGGTACTTTATTACTGAGACTGAGCTATTTTATTACTGAGACTGAGCTATGCTCAAATTGACATATATAAAAACTTAATAGATATAATTATGAAAGATTATGCTTTGTTTGATAACGATTTCGATTTTAGCCTTCTATTTTCAAGAATTATGCTTTCCTCCGTGCAACTTCTTTGGTATGTTTTTATCCTTCCTCAATGCACATTTGAATTCTTAACCAAATTAATTTTAAAAATAAAAAACAAGTTTTTTGAAAGCCTTTTTTCTTTTTTTCTCGATTTCAACCCACTCTATTCCAGTTTCCACGATTAGGTTCTTTTGAAAAACCTCCTTCATGTTATGTTTCATTTTCTTGTGCTCCACAAAAAATACTCACAAAAGGCTTTAAAAAGAATTAAGAGATGTTTTGTTTTATATTAAAGTTAAAATATTTAGGAAAGAAATCATTTAAATAAAATATAAATTATCAATTTGAAAATGGTAACTTAATATATTATCTCTACCATAATAAATTTTAATCTCCAAACTTTAAAAAGTTGTAACCACATCATCCAACTTTCTATAATATAGATTTCTTTAGGTTCCCTGCATTAACATTGTTACTCAAATGCTGACATGACACAATTAATTGAATTAATAAAAAAATAATTTAACACAATGTGGCAAAAGAGTATAATAAGGAAGTAAACAACAGCAAATAATTATGTTATGATGCATGAGCCAAAAGTTCTAATATATATTTCACTTGTTAGTCAACCCATCACCTTTTTTTTTTCTTGCTCACACTTATTTTATTCACTTACTTGTGTTCTTATGCTATATGGGGTAAGATCATTGACTTTGTTACTAGAATCAATGTGTCACATCAACACTTAACATAGATCGTTTAAATATATAATGAGGTCTTTTTTTTTTAATTAGGAACTAAAAAAATAAGCATAGAAATTTGAAAACTAAATTTATAATTTAACAAAAATTTAATAATAGATAAAGATAGTCAAACACGTGTGAATTATAGGGCAATTAAAGAATTATGTGAAAGATCGAGTATGGTCAAGCTTGGAAAAGCGACCATACTTGCTTTTGTTGCATTTGTTGGGGTCTCCTCTTAACTTGTTTGGCTACTTGAGAAGCTCTTCCATGTGATCACTTTCTTTGATATTAGCCAATATGACAAAAATTTGCACATTGGTGGGATGAACTTCTCATAAGGTCGGCCACGGCTAGTTCCTTGGTCGGAATGTCTTTGGTTTGGCTGAGCTTGGCATGAGCAGTAGTTTTATCTCTGGGTTTAGAAGGTGGAGTGGACTATTCAGTAAAGTCATAATTGAAGTCTTGTGACTTCAGCAGCTCTTTCGTATCGATGAATTTCTTCCCTATTTGAAACTTCGTTGAAGGTAGTGGCAAACTTCTTGTCTAGAGAGAAGATCAGTCTTTTATCTTTGAGGCTGAAAATGAAGGAAGTGGGTTGTTGGTCTCTTTGAGTGATGTCAAATCGAGAATTGTGTGATGAAGGTTGTCCTGAGCTAGTTATAGCTCGATATAGACCTTGGTAGCAATTTTCAATACCATAATCGTGCTAAGTTAGCTAGCGGGATTTGGAAGACTCGACATTTGAGGGCATCACTCGTAGCTTAGAAATCCATATTAAGCCTTCATATACCCCAACATCATCTATTGGGTCGCCTGAACAACCATAAGTTTTGAAGGTTGGTGTCTTAAATTTGCTTGGTATAGGAGCGTCGAGAATTTCCTAGACGAACAGAGACTCTCCAAGTTCATCATCCTTCGGTGCATGGGTAGATTTTCCCTCGTATTGCCTCTTCAGAGGCTCCACTTCAGCCTCGAAATTGCTCTTCATCTGCCGAATTCAGAATGCATGATCCGACCTTGAGGGTCCCCTTCTTGGGCTATTGCCTTTGCACCATTAGTGAATGTTTTCCTAAGGTTTTTCGAACGAGGGGTCCGACCTTTAGTATAGGAGCGTTGGAATGCTTAACTCGATCATTGAGGACGTAACATAGGTCCCTACTATCTAGACTTCTGGTGGATCATTGTTGTACCCTCGAGGGAGAATCAGTCTCAAGGTCTTCATCGTGGTGCGACTACACCTTTGGTGGGTTGTCATTTTGTGCATGGCAGAGGCTGCGACCATTTTGTCGCCTTGGCCCATTCACCTTTTCATCCATGAGGGTTGGGACCACATGGTCCCTCTTGCCCCAACCTTGTGGGTCCGAAGGTACAGATACCTCGATTTGTTTCAGGCTATGGCTCCACGGCTTGCATCTGGGCATACATCTCGTTCATCTGAAGTTGCATAACAGCAAGTACATTAGGGGTCTACTAGGCAACTGATATCTCACCCAGGTCGTTTTATCACTCCAATTACACGAATGTTTTGATATGTTTGGACCGAAGGAAGGTCGGTCCTAGTGTTCGCAATTCGGTGGGTCCGAGCTCCGATGAGGATAGGCGGATTAGGTGCATTCCTCGAAGTTCCCACAGTGTGAGGATCTCGGGGACAAGATGATCTTCCTGACCTAGAGGATTCACCCGTTGTCTTGGGTTGCTGGACCCTTATGAATCAATGCAAGTCAAAGCTTGGGTAGGAAACAACTTTGTTTGTCTGTTTCCCATAAACAGTGCAAAATGTTTATGCATAATTCAACCACGGTTTTAGAGCATAGATCAACTTCTTACTGACTTGGACATCAAAGTGTTTACTTCCCTTCTGTTGTTTTCTTCATCAAGCTCGTTCTCCAAACTTGGTCATACTTGATCTATACAAATTCTCAAGTCTATCAGAATTCTACATAAACAGAATCATTATTATTATAACAATCAACCTAACAAAATAAAAAACGTTAAGAAAAAAAGGGTAGGATAAGAAGAGTAGATATTAACAAGTTTATCACACAACTTCAATGAGAGCAATTGACTTGTGCACTAATAATAAAATGACCTTTTAGAAATGTTGGAATTCTTGGTAGAATAAATTTGCCAAAAGCTCTCCTTTAATCCCCAACTTGATACCTTCTTTTTACGAAGAATCATCAACACTAAGAAATACAACACTTTTAAAAGGACCAAAAATTTTCTCATACACCAAAACTCTCCATTCAAAATTTTTTTCTTTCTAATTTAACTCTCTAACCCATTTAAATGATAACTGTAAGAGAAAAAGTAAAAGTAAAGTCAAAGATGTAATGATCAACTATATACCATATAAAAATAATATAGGTTTTTTTGCCATATTGATTTTTTAAGAACATAACCATGGTAAGGTGGCTCATTGATTTGAAGGGATTAGGGTTAAGAGGAAACGAGTTCAAATTTCATTATAGTCACCTACCTTAAAAATTAGTAATTTCTATGTTTTCCCGACACAAAATGTTGTAGCATCAGACGGTTGACCCGTTATTGTTCAAATAATAAGTTTGAGGTTTGAACATACAACTTGTGAAGGAGATTATAGATGGAGTTGTGTTGTACCCATATATACCAATATAGTTTAAACTTATCAAATCTATCCCCTTTTAAACTTAAATGTACAAGAGAAACAATTAGTACCAACTTGATTTGTCATAAATTTTAAAACTTTCCCATTAGTCACTAATGGATTTAATAAATCATAAAAAAAAAACTTTTCAGAATCAGAAGCAAAATGACTTCTTCCTTTTAAATTGAATATATTTAACAAAAATGTCTCCTTTCAATAAAATGTAAATAAAAAAAAGAGCGTTGAGCCCCACAAAATATGTTAAATAAAATCCAAATTTGTTGATTCCTCAGAACACTACGGACACCAAACTTACCAAACTTAGCAAGCCATTTAATCTTCACGCTTCTCTAAAAATTAACATTTTCCTAATATTTTTTTATCTAAAATAGAAAGTCAAAATACACTTTTGGTTTTTGAGATTTGAGTCAGATGTCTATTTAGTTCTTGAAGTTTCAAAAAAAATACTTTTAGTTCTTGAAATTTAAGTTAGGTATCTATTTGGTTATCGAGATTTCAAAAGAGACATTTTTGATCCCTAAAGTTTGACTGGCATGCTGATGTGGCTTCAAGGACCATTTAAAATCATTTTCCAAACTTTAGGAACCAAAAATGTCGTTTTTGAAACCTCAAGAACCAAATAGATACCTAACTTAAATTTCAAGGACCAAAAATGTCTTTTTTGAAATTTCAAAGACTAAATAGATATCTGACTCAAACCTTAGGACCAAAAGTGTATTTTGCCCTAAAAAAAAACATTTTCCTAATATTCAAATAATACTCATATCTCAGGGAAAAAAAGCATCACTTATATCTTAAACCATTTTTCTAATATATATATATATATGTCCGAAGTTTAATATTCTAGGTAGGTCTATTATGATTTTTTTTTTTTTTGAAAGCGGTCTATTATGAAATTTAAATGGTGCAACTATTGGACTATTATAAAATTGAAGTGTTTGAAATTTTAATATCTTTTAAGTAGGTCTATCATGAAATTTAAACTTATTCCTCTAAAGTCTCCTAATTTTTTCATGT